GGCGCATTACGCTGCCGTTCATTCTGATCAACTCCAAAAAGGAGACAGTCATCGACTGCGAGATGGCGGAGGACAAGCAGGAGCGGGAGACCGAGACCCCCTCCCCGAGACCACACACACACACACACACACACACACACACACACACACACACACACACACACACACACTCACACACACACACACACACACACACACACACACACACACACACACCACCCGCGCGCGCACACACAGTCGACACCTGCCTCACGCCCCCGCGCACTCGCGCCACGCCGCCGCGCAGGAGATCTTTTTCAACTTTTCCGCGCCGTTCGAGATCCACGACGATAACGAGACCCTCAAGCGGATGCGGATGCAGTACTGCGCGCAGGCGAGCGACATCAGGGGCATGGTGCCCGAGGGGCTGGTCGAGTTCACCTCCAATTGGCACCAGCTTGCGGTCAACGCGGCGAGCGCGGCCACCGGCTAGCGCGCGCGAGGCGGGCCAAGATCTCCTTCGTTGGGGGGGGGTCGGCCGGGTTGCACCCGGGGCGGGGCTGCGCGCGCTTTGGCTGCGCCGCCGCCGCTTCCACACGCGACTAAAATGTTCAGGCCGATCGTCCCCGACGCTCAGCTGTCTCGGGAAGCGAAGACATGTGGCAAGAGCGTAGGGTGGTGTCGCGCGTGCGGGGCTCAGCCGAGGCGCGTCTCGGCGCGCCAGAGGGTGCGCCGCAAACATAAACGAGATATAAGTTTTTTTGTTCATCGACATCGTCTTCGTGCATGCACTCGCTTGCTTTTATTTCGGATTTCAAAACGATTTCGCTCCAGTCCAGCTCCAGTCCCCTGCGCCCTGCCCCTGGCCCTGCATCTAGAAAACCCCGGCTCTGTGAGATTCATGGAAAAAAGCATGAATACAGAATAGAGCCCCTGGTGGGCGAATTTAATATTTTTCTGCGTCAGCCGAGAGGGTTTGATGCGAAATGGCTGAGCCCTGGTCTGACAGCCTGACAGCAAACCCGGACAATGTGCCTGACAGTGCCCGACAGCCTGACAGCGCTGACAGCACTTTCTCTGACAGCCTGACAGCACGTATCTGACAGCCTGACAGCAGAGTCTGACATCAGAGGGGCTCCGTCGCTGTCAGGCCCTAACGTGACAGCCTGACAGCTGCCTGACAGCCCGACAGCACACAGTGGCCTGACAGCAGCGCTGACAGCCCGACAGCCCGACCAGCCCGACAGCAGCACAGACCGTACACAGCCGTGCAGCCTCTTTCTTGCGCCCCATGAGGGTATAACAAAACTATTACATGCAAAGACATGTGAGTGTGGTCCATGCAGTGTCATGGGATGGTCATGCCTCATGGGTCTCTCTCTCAACCCTCCCGCCCCACCTCTGCGCACTGCGGACCCGCGGCTGTGCTACAACTACATGGGATGGTCATGGGTCTCTCTCTCAACCCTCCGTCCCTCCCGCCCCACCTCTGCGTACCCCTCTCTAGCACCGGCGGCTGTGCTACTACAAATGAAGCTACCAGCTAGCCTTCTGGGGCCCTACAGTCATATCTTGTGCCTACGCGCGGCATCTGGGTGGGGGCGGGGTGGCCGCCGCCGTCTGTGCCGCGCTGCCACCCCGCCGCCGCCTGCGCCTGCGCCGCCATCTGCGCTCCCCAGGCGGACCCCTTCTAGGCAGAGTAGAGACTAGAGTATGTGTAGTAGAGTCCTGCTGGTCTCCTCTTGGCTCACAAGCTACGGTAAAGATGATAGGAGATGTTCACGGCACACGCACGGGCCCCCACACGGAGCCCCGGGTACTCTTAGCACAGTACTCGTCTAGGCAGGGGTTGGGTTGCGCGTGCAGCGCGCGAATCGGTTTCAACAGTAAGTACAAAGAACGTGGCCGCCCCGCCCTCCCATCCTCCGCTCGAGTGCCACCCCCCGCCCCCCAGCGTAAGAATTTCACAGACAACCCCCCCACCTCACTGCCCCAGCGACCACGCCTCGAACTTCTTGGGCAGCAGCTGGTTCGACAGGTCCTCTCCGTGTCCTAGGCAGCCGTGTTCGCCCTTGCCCCACGTGAAGACAGCTCCATCGGCGGTGCGGGCGAGGCTGTGGTATGTTCCCGCCGACACAGCGAGGACGCGCTGGCCAGCGAAGGCCTCGACCTTCTTCGGCTGCCGCTGCTGCTGCTCGTCGCCGTGGCCCAGCTTGCCGTAGAGACCATTGCCCCAGCTCCAGACAGCGCCGTCGGCGGTGACGGCGAGGTTGTGGTTGCCTCCGGCCGACACACCGATGACGCGCTGGCCAGCCAAGGCCTCGATCTTCTTGGGCAGCGGCTGGTTCTGCTGGTCGCCGTGGCCCAGCTGGCCCGCACCTCCATCGCCCCAGCTCCAGAGGGCGCCGTCGGCGGTAGTGGCGATGCTGTGGAAGTATCCAGGCGCGACAGCAACGACGCGCTGGCCGGCAAAGGCCTCGATCTTCTTTGGCAGCGGCTGGTTCTGCGTGTTGCCGTGGCCAAGCCGGCCGTCCTGTCCACCGCCCCAGCTCCAGACGGCGCCGTCGGCGGTGAAAGCGAGGTTGTGCGCGAATCCCGCCGACACAGAGACGACGCGCTGGCCAGCAAAGGCCTCGATCTTCTTCGGCTGCCGCTGGTTCTGCTGGTCGCCGTGGCCCAACTTGCCAAAGCCTCCCCAGCCCCAGCTCCAGAGGGCGCCGTCGGCGGTAAGGGCGATGTTTTGGTCGCCTCCCGCCGACACAGCAACGACGCGCCGGTTAGCAAAGGCCTCGATCTTCTTGGGCTGCCACTGGTCCTCCTCGTCGCCGTGGCCCAGCGGGCCATCGCATCCATTGCCCCAGCTCCAGACACTGCCGCCGCCGGTGAGGGCGAGGCTATGCGCAGTTCCTGCCGTCACACTCATGGCGCGCTCGCCGCCCAGCGGGGAAGGGAGGCGGGTCGACGTGTTGAGCCGCGTCACTTCATCGCCGTGCCCGAGCAGCCCTGGAACGAAGGACGGCGCTGAGCCACACGACGAGAGCCGCCCCTCGCCGTCGATGAAAAGGCTGTGCTGATGGCCTGCCGCCGCCTTCACCGGCGGGTTGGCCTCGCGCAGCACGGCCGAGTAGCACAGCCACCGCACGGCGCAGCCCTCGCCCTCTGGCTGCGCCGGCGGCTCGTAGCCGGCCTCTTGCAGGCGCAAGCGGATGCCCTCCAGCGCAAGCGAGGCGTGGAAGAGAAGCGAGACGGCCGCGACGCGAGCGATGTCGACGGGGTCGCAGCGGGAGATGACGCGCGCGAGAAGCTCAAGGGGCAGGTCGAGGAGGGGGCAGTGCGCGGCGGCGGCGGCGGCGGAGGCGAGGCGGCGCGAGCGGCGCCGTGGGGCAGACATTGCGAGGAAAAGAAATTGATCGCGCGTCACGTCGAGGTTGCCAATCGCACTCTCTCTCAAAATCAATTTTCTTTTGAGGGACCGGACGAAGTGCTGCTCGCGGTGGGTGCCGGTCGCCGGGGGCGCCGGGGGGGGGCGCTCACAGACCTCTTGCGCCCAAATAGCCAACAAAATGGTGTATCATCTATGCAATCACCGCAAAATGCATCGAATGCATAATGCAACGAAATGCAATCACGCGCAAAATGCATCGAATGCATAATGCAACGAAATGCAATCACGCGCAAAATGCATCGAATGCATATGCAACGAAATGCAATCACGCGCGAAATGCATCGAATGCATATGCAACGAAATGCAATCAGCGAATGCAGTTGTAAAGCAGGTGTAATGCAGGCGATGCATGCGAATGCAAAAAATGCAATGCATGGGCAAAACCCCTCACAGCGGCCGCCTCCGCCTGCCATGTCGTGCGCTCGGCGTCGCCCTCGGGCAGAAGACTCGCGTGCTCTAGTTGAGCACTTGAGCACTGGATAGGGTCGATTCCGCGTGGTACGGGACCCCTCGATCGTCTCGCCCTCCCTCTCTGCTCTAGTTTACTAGCGAGCTGCCCGAGCTCGGCGCAGTACTCGCGCAGTCGCTTGGCCTGTTGGCGACCGTTCTGCTCTGCATACGTGTCTAGTGCGCTTGTAAGACTTATGCGTCTCCCCCGCCACCATTTCTGCCAAGAAATGGCTACGGCCGAGGCGGAGAGTCGCGTCTCGCGTCGCGGCATACGCCGTATGCAGCGCCTCGGCGCACTGCCTGCGCTGAGTCTTTGGGAGTCTTGACACGATGCGTCCCGAAAGCGTGCTGCATGTTGTCCCCCGACGCCAGGAAGTCTACCGCGCCAACCAGCTTTGAGTGGGGGAGAGTTCCAAGGTCGCCCCCGCCTTTGAGCCGCCATTTCTCCGTCTTACTCACAGCTGGCGTCTGGCCGCTGAGCCAGATGCACGCGTGCCACTTAGCATATCGCCACCGGTATCTGGTCAGTGGCCCGACTCCGGCCTCACCCAACTGAAACTCGAAGCATTCATTAAAGATGCGAAGCGAGTACCCGGCGGTGAGCGGCGAGAGGATCTGAGCCAGCACACGTACTGGCTCCTTTCGCTGCTCTGCACATATGTACGAATAGACCAGGCTTTTGGCCATCGGACTCTGCGCAATTAAATCGAGCAGTCGACGGCCCCGTGGCGGCGTCGAGGTCGCGAGCGCGGAGCGGAGGCCGGCTCCAGCGCTGCTATCCGGCCATGAGCGCTTCGGTACGGCGGAAAGGGCTGCAGCCGTTGCCAGTGGATCTGGCGCGAGCGCGTCTAGCACGTGGTAGACGGCGACAGAGCCCGCCTGCATTAGGTTGCGGCGCCTCCAGACGTCGCGCTCATGTTTGAGAGACCCATGTCAAACCTGCGGTCCAGCAGCGATGCCGGTAGCTTGTGGCCTGCCTCATCCGTAAGAGGCACGCCGAGGGCGGTCAAGATGCCTTGGAGCGTCAAACGCGGCCGCGGTGGAGGTGGCGGCGGTGGCAGAGCCGGTGGCGCACTGCACGACACCTCCATTGGCTCGGGCGGTGCTGATCCGCTCCGCGTCTGCCGATACTGACTGTCGAGGAGAAGGCGAGTCCGGCTGAATCCGAGCGGCGCGGGAGCTTTGCGGTCGGCCACCGGCGTGGTCAACTCGTCCAGCTGATGCACCGGGTCGTAATCCAACTGGTTGGCGCCAAACGCGAGTCACGGCACCGCCCACCCTTTTGCGTCGTTATTTTGGCAACGAGCAAGTGGGCCGCGCCCGGCTGATGCTCCGCGAGGTAGTCATTCAGAGCAGACTGGATAGCACTGCCTCGGCCGTTGAGACCGGCCGCAGTCATCAGCGCCGTCACCTCACTGTGGTGGAGGCCGAGCCGCTCGGAAATGACATAGTCGCGAGAGACCCACTCAGGCGCTTCATCTGCGGCGAGCCATACGCCCTGCGGAATGGCAAAGCTGCCCGGTCGAGAGAGCACGCCGTTCCCGGGTCCGAAAAAATCGAGAAAAAATGGGTCCGCGTTTGATCTTGTGATCTCTGCAGTTCCCATGCCCCAAACATGTCCCCAACACGGGGGCATGCACTCCGCAGCCTCAAATCCCGCTGTGTCGCTACCCGTGTTTTCACACCCAAAAAGAAAGAAAGAAAACAGACAACCCAAACGAGGGATAGGGGAGGAGGACAGGGTCCACACCTGCACGAGCAGGATTTTGGAAGGACGATCAGGGGCACAGCCACAGGTGGGCTCTCCTGCTCCTGACAAGGGACACGACAGGCTCGCAGCGGGTTGGTGTACAGCGCATGTGCAGCCCATGTGCAGCTCAAACGCGCATGAGCTCGCCTTCCCCGCGCTACTCTCACCAAGCACCCACCACAGCTCCACAGGCGCGTGGCAGTTTTTGCGTAGTTTGCGATTTGCGTGGGCGACCCGCTGCGGGTTGGTGTACAGCGCTAGGCACCCCAGACCGCCGCCAGGTGCAGTTCACGGCGCAGGCTGTTGGTTCCTCATCTCCATCGGCGTGCGGCGACTGCCTTTTCCACTGCTGTTGCGGCTGCTGCGCGGTCACCCAGGACCTGAAGGAGGCCCACATCCGCGATCTGGGGTCGTCATCATCATCAATGTGCGAGGTCTGGAGGCGACCGAGATGGCCCGCTGAAGCGAGCGCACACCTCTCGGCGGCTAGCAAGCGATGTGACGTCCCTTGGCAAAGCAGGGCGGGCCGTCGCATGAGCCGCGCGAGGCGCGCGCCGCGTCCCGGCGAGGGGCGAGGACGCGGGTGGGGGGGGGGGGGGGGGGGAGACGAAAGGTGGGGATGCGGGGGCGGGCGAGTCGACGCCGCCAGCGTGGAGGGCACCCTCACGCGGACTGGAAAGAAAGGTGTAGACAACTGCTGAGTGTTTGTTTTGTCTCTGTCGCATGTCTGCCTGCGGAATGGGAAATCGGATGAACAAGCCCGAGTACGGGGTCGAACGGGGCCAGGCCGCACGAGGCGCGCAGCGCTTGGCCGCTAGGCGGTTGCTTGGGGCGTTGGCCGTTTGGGTTGATGCTTGATCGCGATTCGTGTGTGAAACTGAATGCCGCGGCTGCCGTGCGGCTGGGGCAGTGCAGAGAGAGAGAGAGAGAGAGAGAGAGAGAGAGAGAGTGCACTCCCTCCGGGAGAAGCTTTTTTGCGGCGTTTTATGTCGGCTCGTGCTCGCTTTTTTACTCTGTCCTGGACAGACGAGAGGGGCATGGGTTCATCGCCTCCTAACGCGTCGCCTGTCCCAATCGCCTTCACCTACACCTACGCGAGGCAGCCTCCCGGGTGCTGTGGCGGCTACTACGACGACCCTGCCAACACCATTCTGAGCGACGGCGTCAAGCCCAGCAGCATCACACGGTCCAACTGCGTGGAGTTTGACCTCTCCTCCCATGCCTACCAGCCGACAATTGACCTGGGAGATGAGTACGCGGTAAGCTCGCTTGAGCTTTCGTACGTTGCCGCGCCAGGCTGGGGCAAGTATGCGCCCTCAAAAGTGGCCGTCTCGTGTCTCTCGGCATCGGTGCCGCTGCCGCACCAGGCGACCTCGAGCGTAGAATTCTCAGACCTGTCGAACTCGGGCGGGCACACGGTCAGCGTTGACCTCACGCGGTGCGGGCGCGTGCGCTACATCACGCTCGAGCAGGTCAAGCCATCTCGCGGCCATACCAACGTCGGCGAGCTAGTCGTCCTCGGCTGGAAACACTCGTCACCGCCACCGCCACCTCTTCCGTACCCGCCGCGCCCGCCTCCGTGCGACTCATACAGCGCCGTGCGGTACGTGTGCTCGTCGAATGACGGCTCCGGCTATCACGGCTTCACGGGCAGCTACCGAACTTACCTCGGGCGGCCCGGCTCCTCCGCGGCCTGCCGCGCGCTGTGCGAGGCGCAGAGCGAGGCGGGCTGCTGCGAGTGGCGCTCGACCAACCACTGCAACTGGAAGCGGAATGCCCGTCTGTTCTACTCGGCGGGACACACGGACACGACGAGCTTCCTGTGCTCTGTTGCGCCGCCGCCGCCATCGCCACACCCACCGCCGCCGCCGCCATCGCCACACCCACCGCCACCACACCCACCGCCGCCGCCGCCACACCCACCGCCGCCGCCGCCGCCGTCGCCGTCATGGTTCTTCGACACCGGGGTCGCCGCCTCCCTCTCCATGGAGCCCCCCGCCATTCTGCTTCTCCTGATTCCGTTGGCCCTGGGCGCGCTCCTGGCGATGTTGCTGGGCTGCTGCATCATCCGGGAGGTGCGCTCGCTACGCGGTCGCGGTCGCGCGCGAGGGGGGGGGGGGGTCCACGTCACGCTCCCCCACTCGACTGTCGGGAGACAGCCCCTCTTCAAGCCGCGCGGTGAGTCTGCCCGCAGGCTCGCTCTCTCGAGCATGTTCTCCTCCGGCTCATTGCGGGCGCCGCCCTCGCCGTGATCGTCTACTCGTACGAGGTCGCGCTCTACTTCGGCGCCGCCCTCGAGTACAGAGGCGCCCTCGTCTACTCGTCCTTCGTCGCCGCCCTCTCGAGCAGCGTCGAGCTCGTCGCCGCCCTCTCGCTGGCGCGATCCGGCCGACGGCACGCGCGCGCACGTCGACCGCGGCCTTGTACCTCATGGCTGGCGCGGCGTCGGGACTCGCCCTGGCGGCCGTCGTCATCTACTCCCACTTGCCTGCCGGCTTCCTGTCCGACGTGGTCGAGCCGGGCGCGGCCCTCTGCCTGGTGCGAGAATGCAATCTGACTCCCAAGGCCTCTCCCCTCAGAGGACAGAGCTCTCCCACCCACCCGGCCCGCCTCGCAGACGTGTTCGGCGCTAGTGCTCGCCTACTACGCGAGCACGCAGTCCCGCCGCTGCCTCTCTTCGTCGGACGCTCTCATCGGAGTGCTGGGCCGTCCCGACGCCGTCGAGATGATTGTGCCGTGCGGAGTGCCGGCGCTCCCGTTGGCCGATGCCGACAAGCCCCCCTGCAGCACTCACATGCTTACACCTCAACCGCCGCCCGTTGCCGCAGGTGATAGTACCTCTCGCCCAGGTCACTCCCGCTCCAACGTCTGCCGCTCAGTCTGGCGCTGCCGCCGGCGAGGCGAGGTGCGACTTGGACCCGTCCTCCTCGATCCCAATCTACTCGCCGGAGGTGCTGTCCGCCCCGCTGCGCATGTCAGACGTGCGCATGGCACCAGCAATGGGGTCGCAGCAAGAAGAATGCTAAATACTAACGCTAAGTGGGCTGCGGGCGGTTTGGGGCGCGCCGCCGCGCCCCCCCCCCCCTCGACCCCCCCCACGCGCGCGTCCGACTCTCCGACAAGGGTTAAAACAAGGTTAAAAACACCTGGCACTGACACGCTGCCTTTGATTGGGGCGACCACCGGCAGTATCGTTGCGTCGTTCCGCGTCGGCGGCGCCGGCGCCGGCGGCAGTGCCAGTGGCAGCGCCAAGACGTCTTTGATGGCGGCGTTTGGCTTCTCGCGCGTGCGGTCCTGGTCACATTGAGCTGCGCATCGAGGAGGATGTTCGCCGCCTATCACAGATCGACATGTGAAGAGGACCACGTCGTGTTGAGCTGGGCGTTGAAGAGGAGGGTGCGGAGGGAGGGGAGCGAGGCTCCTTCGGCGGCGTTCTGCCGAGAATCTCGCGCCGCGCATCCTCGCTGAGGGCTGACGAGTGAGGATTGGCGTTCAGGTGCTGGCCGCACGACATCTCGAGCCAAGGCGCAAAGTGGGAGAGCACCTATCCACAGTCGCACGCGTGAAGCAACACGTGTGCACACCTCATTGGCGCGAGCCAGGGCGCGGGGAGTGCATTCGCTCCTCTCCTCGCGCCGCCATATCTCCCACCCCAGATCTCAGCCTCGCAGCTCACGTGCATGTGCGCGTGCCTCTGCCGTCTCCTCGCATCGCTCTAGCACGCCGACCACACATCGGCTCGCGCGGTGCAGCGTCCGGTCGAGCACGCCCACGACGTCCATGCTCCAGCCGGCCGCGCCGCAGCTCGCGCCATTCTCGGCCGTGAGCCGGTTCACGCGTGCCTACGACTCGGGCCATCTGGGCATCTCAGGGGGGGGTTTGCCCCCCCCCCCCCCCCTCGGGTAATGTCGGCGCGCCTCGTTGGTGCCGGCATCGGAGAAGAGCCGCAGCGGCTCATTGTTGCAGCCCTCCCCGAAGGTGCTCATCCCCGTGGCGAGCGCCTGTTCGCACCGGCAGCTGTGAGGAGTCGCTCATCCCGTGCCCGAGGCGGCTCCTCTTTGACGCCTCTCGCAGTTGCGAGGCGCTGTAGGAGGCAAGGTCCTTGACCTGCAAGGTGTGGTGGGAAAGCTGTTGCGCTGAGACGTTTTGACGTCGAGGCCGTTGCCCCGTCTTCGTTTCTTCTCCACCATCCGGTACGACCTGGCGTGCCGCGGACACTAGCGTCATGCCTGCCCCCTCCTGGCAAGCGTGTACGGGGCGTCTAGGAAGGCGTCTAGGATCTGTCTAGGAGGCGTCGAGCAGGCGCGTGCCAGCATGAGGCGACACGCGAGACCGGCTCGCGGAAGACCGTGAAGCAGTGCATCTGCGGGTGGCGGCGCCACCGACGTGGATGCCCTGCTGCCGGAGCAACGCCTTCTGCACCGACGCCCAGTACAGATGGCCGCCGTATACGGCAGAGAAGGGCGGGTGCGGAGGCGCGTAGCAGCTCTCGCACGGCACCCTGTTGGAGCAGGGCACCCACGAGGAGAGGGAATGCTTCTTGGCGGAGTAGACCATTTGAGTGCGGATGGTACTGCCGCCCGTCTTGCGCTGGTGGAAAAAGACAAACGGATGCTTCTTGTGCGTACGCGGCGCGGTTGCCACTGGGAGCCGTGCCGCCGCCTCTGGGGCGGCGGCCCCGTACATGGCGACCACAGCCTCCAGGCTGCCGCACTCACGGGCCCCTGTCCACCGCGAGGAGGCTGGCTGCGCCGAGCCCTGGTTCTTGATTGATTCCCACGCGGAAGAGTGGTAGGTTGGATGCTCCGGTGGCGACACGAGGCGGCTGTCTCCCGCATGAGGTGTTCGATTTACTTGGATGGGCGGCACTCGAGGATGCAGCGTCATTGGCGCGTTAGGATGCGTAGATTCTCCACCAGCTGCGGCGAGGACAGCGAGGCTGGCGGGCTGCGGAGGAGGGAGTGGTGGCGCCGTTGTGCGTACGAGCGTGAGACCCACCCAGCCCAACACCGCGTTGGCGACAACAGCGATCAGAAGGGCGACGGCAGAATTCAGAAGGGCCGGGCCATGTGAGCACGAACGGCGCGAAAACGACACCGATGCGACCGAGCTTGAGCGCTCGAGGCGTGGCCGGGAAGAAATTGAATATTCTTATCTTCTGCCTTGCCTCCGACGCTAGAGACAGTCACCACGGATACATACGTCCGTGGGAGTGCCCCCCACCCCCACCTGCCCTGCTTACACAGGATAGCATGCCCCGAGAACGGCGACATTTGGCGGGGGGAACCAGGGAAGGAGGTTCGGGTTAGTCTTTCTTTTTTGTCCTTCTCGAGGGAATGTTCTCTCGGCTTTGCTTTATGGCCCTTTCCCTACGCGCACCCCCCAGGGCTAGGGCTCTCTAGCCCGTGTAACCCGAGATGCCGATCAGGGCTTGACGACCCACTGCTTCAGCCTCCAAGGTTTCAAGCGCGTGGCTACGCCGACCCCACTCACGGAGTGGCGAGATGAGCTTTAGAGAGTCTTAGTCTTAGAGTGCCTTTTTACTGCTTACAAAAAAGAGCAGCAAAAATCACGGTCGATCACGGGATCACGCGCAGCGGCTCCCGCCGTGATGGTGCACCACCGTCGGCCGCTTCTCCCGAACACCGGCGCGTATGCGGCACGAACGGTCACGGTAACCGAGCTGCTGCAGCCATCGAACGTGGGATCCGGCGCCGCGGAACAGCTCCGTCGCGTGTTCCTCGGCGAGCTCGGAGGACGCGTTCCATTGCAAGTGCTGCGGGCGGAAGATTTGGAAATCTGAGTGCACGAGCGCGCGCGGACACGATCGTGTGCACCGGACGTCGGGGTTGCAGTTGGCGAGGATTGCGTGGACAGCCGGCTCTGACATCCAACGTGTGAACGCGTTCGAATCCACCACGTGCACGTCCGGATTAGTCCGAATCACCCATTCGTAAGAAGCGAAGTGCGCTCGGGCGTAGATGATCGCGCGAATCGCGCCCTCCTGGTGCCGGTCGGTATTGGGCTCGACAGCGATGTAGTGTGTTCGCCCGGGTATGCGCTTCACGGTCTCATTCCACGCGTGCGACAGGCGCCGGTTGCTGTACACGTGAATGTCGTAAGCGCTGGTCCACCGCGAGGTCCAGAAGCAACGGAGCGCCGAGAGGTGCGCTTGCGAACCGCTGGTCGTCATGTAGATGAGCCTGGCCATGGCCGAACCGGCCACTTCAAGCAGAGAAGGGGAGGGAGAGAGGACTCGCTCGCGAGCTCAGCGGCGAGCGGCACGTCGCTATCGGCGTCTTGTTCACTCTCCCGCCCTCCGATGACAACTGAAAAAAGGGTTTTGTTTTCTCGCGACACCGCAAATTGTAAAGAAAGAAAGAAAGAAAACAGAGACCGGGAGGGATGGGAGGACGGCACGCCGCCACCACACAGGGATTTTAAGGAGAGGAGTGTGGTGCTAGCCGTCGCCCACCCATCCGGCCCGCTGGGTGCGCTTCTCAGCTCCCCGGCCCTGGATGTGAGGTTGATGACTGCACTCCAAGTGCTCCAAGTGCTCGGCGCCCATGGCCTTCTGAGGTTTCGTACTGATGACGTCCTTCTTGGCACTTCGGGCGTCGGAGAGAGAGAGAGATTTTTTTGAGAGAGATTTTTGTTGTTTGGCGTCAGGCTGTGAATCAGGCTGTGTGTCTTGTGAGCTTGTTTGTGTCTGTGTGTCGCTCGTGCGTGTCGTCATCATCTGTCCAGCGTCCACCCATACCGCGTTGGTGTCCAGTCCGAGCCTGACTGTTCTCCACCTTCCTACATACATACGTCGGTGTGTGCGTTCCGTGGTGTCTCATTCCCTCGGTATGCTATATAGGTTTCCCGAGCTGAGACCTCCTTTCCATCGCAGCGTCTCTTAATGGAAGCCTTCCCGCTGGCGGGAGGTCCCCATGCAGCTCGAAACCTGCTCGACCCTTATATTTTTTGTGCACACCTGAGCGGGCTCAATTTTGCACAGGTGCTCCTACACGAGGCGTGGCCGGAGTAGAGACGGCACCGATGCGACTGAGCTTGAGCGCTCGATGGTAGGCTTGAGCATGCGAGTCCTGTGGGGAAACGACGCTGATTAGACGATGCTGCTTGGGTCTTCTCTCTTCTTGGGTCTGAGCATTGCGGTGTGGCAGAGGGAGGGAGAGAGAAAGACAGAGTTGGTGCCTTCAAAGGTGGGTTGTGATGTGAAACGCGGGAAAAGAGTGCGAGAGAGTCGCCGTTTTCCGGCGGCTCTTTCACCTTGCCACTTGGGAAAATAATTCTTCTTTTCAGCGTCGCTTAGGCGGCTCCGGTGGTGAGCCGGTGTGTGTGCCAGTCCGCGCCAGTCCGCGCCCTTGTCGTGCCAGTGTGCTGTAAAAGAAAGAAAGAAAGACCAGTGTGCTGTGAGCGGAGAGGCTTGCGGTGTAAGAATTCTTTTCAGCTTGCCTGCGACGCGCCGCAGCTCACACGCGCCGCTCGCTGCCGCCCGTCTCGCAGCAGCTCTACCCACTCGCGTTCGCAAGTGCTTGACCGGCAGCCACCGGCGTCTGCCACGCATGGCGCAGGGCGATTACATTGAGCTGCACCAGAAGCGGCAGGGCAAGCGCTTCGACCATGCGGAGCGCGAGCGGAAGAAGGAGGCGCGTAGCGGGCACAAGCAGAGCGCGATTGCCAAGAAGGTTCGGGGCATCAAGGCGAAGCAGCTGAACAAGAAGCGGTACGCCGAAAAGGCGGAGATGAAGAAGACCATCAAGGCGCACGAGGAGCGGCTAAACAAGCACAAGGCCGCCGAGGCGCCCGCTGACAAGGACGCGGTGCCGGCGTACCTGCTCGACCGCGAGGGCATGTCGCACGCCAAGGTGCTGTCCAACTCGATCAAGCAGAAGCGCAAGGAGAAGGCGGGCAAGTGGGCGGTGCCCATCCCAAAGGCGCGCGCTGCCTCGCTCCCTCGCCGCTGCGCCTGCCGCCGAGCCTCTTCTTTCCCTCCGTCACGGCCGCCCACAGGTGGCGCCGGTGTCGGAGGACGAGGTCTTCAAGGTGATCAAGTCGGGGAAGCGGAAGAAGAAGCAGTGGAAGCGCATGGTCAACAAGGAGACCGCCGCTCCTCGCTCCCCTGCCCTCCCTTCCGCCCTCCGCTGCTGTTCACATTCGCCGCCGGGCCTCGCGGCCGGTGCCCTCGCCGCCGCTGCCCTCACCGGCGGCACCCCCCGCCGGCCAGGTCTCCTTCGTCGGCGAGTCCTTCACGCGCAAGCCGCCAAAGTTTGAGCGCTTTGTGCGGCCGGCGGCGCTCCGCTTCAAAAAGGCGCACGTGACGCACCCTGAGCTCAAGGCGACCTTCCAGCTCGACCTCATCGGCGCGCGGCGTGCCCCGGCCCCACCCTCTCGCCCCCGCCGCGCGGCGTGCGGCGCGCGGCGTGCCGCGGCGCAACGCCCGCCGCCCCTCGCCTAGCCATGGCCCCTCCCGTCTGCAGGCGTCAAGAAGAACCCGCAGTCGCCGCTGTACACGTCGCTCGGCGTCATCACCAAGGGGACGATCATCGAGGTCAACTGCGCCGACCTGGGGCTGGTCACGCCGTCGGGCAAGGTGGTGTGGGGCAAGTATGCGCAGGTGACAAACAACCCGGAGAATGACGGCTGCATAAATGCGGTCCTGTTGGTGTGAGCAGGACCTCTCGATATTATTGGCGCGCTCTGTGTTTCTACGTTTGATAGGTACTTAAAAATGTCAGATTTTTTTAGTGCGCGGAGGAGCGGGATCCGCGGTGCGGTGCGCGGAGGATCGCGATCCGCATCCGCGCGATCCGCCAGATCCCGCATCCGGGGACCCCGCTCTGACTCGCGTCTCTCTGGAAGTAAGAGCGGGTTGGTCCCTCGTGCGCGCGCGCCGCGCCTCGTGCGCCTGGCACCGGCCTGGCCCCTGCGCTTCCGCTGGTTAACAGATCCCCCCCCCCCCCCTCCGATTCACTCCGGGCTAACCTCGGAATGTAAGCGCACTATGGCTGTGCTGTCTCCTACACAGCCATCTTACCTAAGGATGGCTGAGCTAGCTGCAGTGCAGCCACATCCTCCAGCCCGATGGCTGCAACACACACACGGCAGCCATCCTTAGTAGACACATGGCTGGAGACGCACTACCGCAGCCATACCGGTTACCGCCCGCCTCGAGGTGAGCCCTCTTGGCTGAGCTGGCTACATCGCAGCCATCTTGGGTAAGATGGCTGGGGGGCAGCCATTTCAGCCATTTCAGCCATCTACTATGGCTGGGGCACAGAGATTGCAGCCATCCTCCAGAGCCATGGCTGGTGATAATTCGATGGCAGCCAATGGCAGCCGTCCCGCGAGGCCGGGGGCGGCAAGCGCGCAGCCATTTGTGCGTTGTGGCGGGGGGCGGCGGACGGCTGCCATCGATTGTCACCAGCCATGCTCCGGAGGATGGCTGCACTGACTGTGCCCCAGCCATAGTAGATGGCTGAAATGGCTGTGGCCCAGCCATCTTACCCAAGATGGCTGCGATATAGCCAGCTCAGCCATGAGGGCCCGCCCCGGGGCGTGCGGTATGGCTGCAGCAGCGAGCTTCCAGCCATCCCTACTCAGGATGGCTGCCCTGTGTGTATTGCAGCCATCGGCCTGGAGGCTATGGCTGCACTGCAGCTAGCTCAGCCATCCTTAGGTAAGATGGCTGTGTAGGAGACAGCACAGCCATAGTGCGCTTACATTCCGAGGTTAGCCTTCACTCCGCCTGGCTAAAAAGCGCACCCAGCCCAGGGGGGCAGTAGAACGAAATAGCACCTCGACCACCTCGACCTCGACCACCTCGACCACCCACCTCGACCCGCTCCCTGCGCGGCTCCCCTGAGGCTTCCGCGGGTGCCGCGAGCCTCGTGGGGTCTCGCCCTGATGGCGCGCCTCCTCCGCTGCCGATCTGGCCACTCGTCCGTTCGTGTAGTACCTAGGCGCGCTGGACATTGCTCGCTCGCCACTTCCTCCGCGACGCCCGCTCAGTCAGTCATTCTTTGTGCGGCTATCAGGGCACGACTCCGTGTTTAGCTAATGGGAGTTGTCTCTTGAATGTCGGGCTGGACTGTTCGCGTGCGAGTGTCGGTGATGTGCAGGGTCCTGGGAAGCAAAGCCAGCGCAGGCGTCTTTGCACGACACGCTGCAAACAAGTTGCCTCTGTCGTCGGGCAGTTGGGGGGGGTTTGGGGGGGGGGGGGGGGATTGTGTCGTTAGCACTCCCCGTCGACTCGGCAAGCGCGACCTGCGTCTCTGGAGCGTGACTTCGTCCCCTTGTGTGCTGCGCATGCGTGTGCCGTGTAGCTCCATGCTTCAGCCGCGGCGCGCGGGACCAGGTACGATGCATTATACAACGATACTACTCTCTCTGCCATCGTTTAACACCCAGACTGCTTCATAGAAGTCACACTTATTCCCCTCCGATGTGAGGCGTGGTCTCAGCTCTCAGCCGGAGGAAGCGCCCCCACCGGTTCTGCGGGTCCAGGAAATTACGACTGAACTTGTTGCGCACAGTCTGCAGGTCAGCTTGCGCCCTTGCTGGTGGAGGAGATGCAGCTCCTTGGCACAGTCACCGAGGTCAAGACGAGTGTAGCCGGTCGCTTCCTACACATCAATCAGCTGTGAGACGGAGAGGTTTTTATATATAAGGAAAATAGGTGCGATCACATTAAGAAGATGCGATGCGTGCCGTCAAAAGGGGGGGGGGGGGGGCGTGCTCCACAAGGAGCGGTTGCGTGTGTGCAGCGCGAGGTGGATTGCCGCAGCTGCCACCATGGATGGCTCAAATCTCTTAAGGCGCACATTCATCGAGAGACAATTTGCAGAGGTATAATGCGAGCAAATATGTGAGCCCGAGCCCACCAAGTTGTCGGCACGCACCTCGAATGTGGCTGAGCGATATCAGCGTCTAACCAATGCTGAAGGTCACACACCACGCTCCACGGTCTCCTCTGAATGCTCGAAATCATAAGCTATGAATTCATTTTCCGGTTAGGTGCGTCATGTCTGCGGTTGCGTCATGAAGTTAGAAATAGTACTGGCTAGTCTATTCCTACTCATCACCACTCGCCAGAACACACCCCCACACTGCTTAGAAGGAAATGGTTTTGTGCAAGGTCCGTATGGGATATGGGGCACACTCTTCCTGTGTGACTGTGAGTACTGTGTGTAGTGTCCCTGCCGCGGTGTGCGCACTAATACCATTGAAGACGGTATCCAGCTACGTGGTATGTACTCGTACGTATGTTTTTTAAAGTGATTTCAGAACAAACGCCTTCGGCATTTTTTTCTCCGGCACCGCCACCGAGAGAGGCTCACAAGAGACAGCTGGCTGCCTCGCGCCGGGGATGACAACTCTGTCCGACCCCTTGTGCTCGGCGCTCGCCCCCCTTGCTCGGCTCTGAGCACCACCTCGGGATACAAAATCGGACCGGAGCCGAGCCTCATAGCCACGGTTCGCGATGTTGCACAACTGTTGGAAGGTGCTGGCTGTGGCTGCTTGCGGCACTACGTTCGTGATGCAGGAAGCATCCAAAGGCCACTGTCAACTACTGTGCCCGGTCCCCCGGTTCGTTGAAGTTCAAAGTTCCGGACCGATCACAGAAGCGTTTGGCTTCACCCGCCGACGAGGGTGTCGAGCATAGGAAGCTTGTCGACGGACGTACCCCACTTATCGCATCGAGCGCGCATTGCAGCCAACCCACGAAGCCGACCCCTTACCGGGAGGCATGTCATGTGCAAGGGCGCTGACTCCCTTGGAAGCTGCACGCAGCTGCGGCAAACGTCGAGGATACTCGACGCTGTAAACAGCCGGGCCGCGTCGCCGGCCGAGACGTCTCGCGGCGCAGCTCTTCAGTGATAACGACGCGCGATCGGGGCGCCGCGTCGGCGGCGGGAAGGGGGGCGGGGGCGGCGAGGGCCATCTGAGCGCCCCGGGGCGCCCCGCAGGCGCGGGAGGGGCCGCGGCAGCGGCCTCGGCCGAGGTGGTCGAGGTGGTCGAGGTGGCGTAGGTTTGTCCACAAAACGGAGCCTAAGTGGGGAGAGGCTGTGGCCGCTGCGCAGCGCATGCACACCATGAACGTGCTCCTACTCCCTCTCGCGACACTGCCAATCGTCGCCCGTCGCGCTGCGGACATCGTTCTGGTCAAGGTTCACGTCCAAGGTCAGCCGGTTCGGACGCTGCAGCGGCCAGCGGCGGAAGCTGTCTCGCGCTCTCTTGGCCGCGTCGGACGGGCTCTCGCACCGCAGGGCTCAAAGAACGCCGAGCGCTGCATGCTATTTGATGCAGGCGGGCTTGAGCTGCATCCGGCAACGAATGCGCTGCACGCGTGGTCGACGGCGGCGCACCTTCAGGTGGGCGGCATGTCGCTTGACGTGGTTTGGGAACCTGCAGAGGTCGCATCCTTGGTGCTGCCGGCGGTGGTGCCGTTCGTAGGCGTGCCATTGACGCCGGTGATCAAGACGCTTGGCTGCGCCGCGGAAGAGTGCCGTTGGGTGTGGGAAGGGCTCCCTACCGATACGGCGAGCGGAAGCCGAGACGGTGAGTGGCAGCCTCTGGGGTTCGGGAGGACGTACACGCCGTCCGACGCGGACCTTGGGTCGCGGCTTCGCGTGCGCGCGGCGCCGCCGGCCACAAGCCGTGCCCTCGCCGCGCTCCCGCTACTCGCATGCGTCGCTGAGGCCGCAGCAGCAGTGGAGGCGCCTCCGGCTCGGCCGCTGCTCGTACGGCGCCTCGGCGCTCTGAGGCGGGCTGCGGCGGCGGGGCGTGGCGGCAGCGGCGCCGGCATCCTCCGCGTGCTCTCGTACAACATTCTCGCCGACTGCTACTCGCGGCACTGGGGCGCCGCCGGCGGCCTCCACTCCTACTGCAGCCCGCGGCTGACGCGTCCGGCGCACCGCATGCCGCGACTGCTCGCCGAGGCGCTGCTACCTGCCGCGTAGACCGACTGCCGTGCTTCGCCTTGCAGGGCCGAGTGAGCGTGTGTCAGGTGCTCGCCTTCTCGCCCGACGTCGCGCTCCTGCAAGAGGTGCTGCTAGATAGAAACTGCAAGAGGCAGGGGAGCGTGCTGCTAGATAGAAGTTCACAACAAAAGGCGGTCGCACGATTCACACGACAGACACGGCGCAGGCGACGGCTAGGTAGAAGGGGAGCCTCCCCACATACCTCCCCCGATCTCGAGGCGTAGACGCGGAGTTCAGAGCCGTCTCTCGAGTACTCGTCAGGTGGACCGCAAGTGGTTCGAAACCTTCTGGGCGCCGTCGATGCGGCAGCTGGGCTTCTCGTGCGTGTACACCAGCAAGGCCGGCGCCACGAGCTCTGAGGGTGAGATAACAGCCGAGATACAGCCGAGGACGGCGTCGTGCGCCGACACACCACGGCCTCCTTGATGGCTGGCGCGGACGGCTCATTTGCACTCGTCCGGGCGTGCCGCGCCGCAGGCCTCGCTGCGTTTGTGCGCACCGGCGCGCTCGAGATGGTCGAGATGCGAGAGGTCTCGCTCGCAATCGGGCCGTCGGGCGCACCGGCAGCCGCCGCGCCTCTCCTCGACTCGCACGCAGGCACCCGGGAGGGCGTGCGGCGGCTGCCCACAGTTGCCCAGCTCTTGCTCTTGCGCGAAGCAGCGCCGGGCGGCAGCGGCGGTGACGGCAGCAGCGGGAGCGGAGAACGCCGCCACGCGCTTGTGGCCAACACCCACCTCTACTTCTCCAACCCCGCGATGCACGTGCGCTTGCTTCAGACGGCGGCGTTGCTCGAAGAGATGGACTCGTGGGCTGAGCACCTCCCTGCGGCGACCCCGCGCATCGTCGCTGGGGACCTCAACGCCGACGCGAGCGACGCCGCGATCAAGCTGCTGACAACGGGGCGCGTGGAGGCGGGCGATCCAGACTGGCTGCACGGCGGATGATGCGCCCCGATGGCGGCAGAGCAGGAGGACCGGTGGGTGCAGCGTCACACGATTGGTGTCTAGGCGCGCTCAACTGGGCGCCGTCGCTCGAGCTCGAGGAGGCGGCGGGCGTCGCGGCGCGGCAAGCCGCCGCCACTCTCGGGGCAGGTTGGGACGCTGTTGGCGACGCCGAGGTCGAGGCGGCGTGGGCTCGGCTCGCCGACGGGTCGGACGACGGCGTGGGAGTGGCCGCTGGCGCGGACGGCGCGGCTTGTCCCGACGCGACATTCGAAGTCGCGCGGCGCGTCGCACGCGAGCACCACTTGCTCCGCGTCGCCGCAACGACCCTCGCGCGGTCGCCGGACGAGCGGACGGACGAGCAGGCAGCCGGCGGACGAGGGGCGGTCACGCGCCTCGCAGCTTCAATTTTGGACGACGCGGCCAGAGGGCGCTCCTTGTACACCTCAAGGCCCCTCGCGGCGGCCGAGGTGCGAGCCTCCATCGGGCCGTGTGTGCGCCCAGCAGCAGCGTTTGACCCTACACTCGTGCCGCAGGTTGCGCGGCAGCTGCAGCTACCGCTTGCCGCTGTGTCCACCCCTGCCAACGACGTGCAGGCCACCTCCTGGTACACGAGAGCGCACACGCGGCTCGGCGAGCTCATGCAGCGGCTCCTCAAGGCGAAGGTGGAGCTGCGCTCGCGGGCTGCGTCCGAAGGCAGCGCGGCGGCGCTGGCTGCCGGCGAGGCTGCGGAAGTTCGTCTGTGGGCGGCACGTGCAGCGGGTGTGTGCCTCTCGCACCCGAAGCCGTTGCAGTCGGTCTACTCCCTGGATTCGCCACCGACGCATGTGGTGCCACGCTACGCCACGTCCATAGATTGGATCTGCGTCGACGCGGAGCGGCTAGAGGTCGTCGGCGTCGCGCCACGGCCGCCGCTCCAGGAGCTGACGCGCGACGTGGCGATGCCGAGCGCTGAGTGGCCGAGCGATCACATATCGCTCGTCGCTGACCTCGCGTGGCGCTGAGAAAGGGCGAGCGCCGAGGGTCGCGGATCTTTTCTGTGACGATATTCGATATTGGTCTCCAGTCCATGATAGTCTCCAGGACCTAGCTGTGTAGATTACTCTCGACGTATACCGCGGACGCCGTGCCTTTAGTTTATAGGGTATAGCGGCTCTACGCTTTCGTGTATAGACAGTCGCAGAGCGATAACTACAATGATCAATGTACATTAATAATAATATGACGCTGTCGCTCTAATCTTTCCCCCTGCCCCTACGCGGCTGGCTCTCCATGCCGCCATGTGCAGCGTTAATACTACTTGCGCTCCTCAGCGGATCCCCGCTTACGGTTACGCTGGATGGTTTCTAGAGCAGGCTCTAGATAAAGTTGCCTTCCGCCGGCAGCGCCAGCGGCACCGGCGCGGACAGTGCCCGCAACATCTGCTCGACGCGACCCGTGATGTTGAGAGAGCCTTCTGCACAGACGTATTGGCGAGGGTGGGGATTCGGAGATTTGCCTTCACTTGATGAGGACGCGGGGCACATATGGTCAGCCGAGTCGTCAAAAGAGTGCAGATGCAGCCAGCCAACTGATCCATAGCCGCCTCTATGGAAGCACTGGAACCTCGGTGAGCGGCCATGCGCGCGCGCAAAGTCGATTGAGCCAGCCTCTAAAATGTGAGCTAGCAGCTGCGGCCGAGACGTCCCCGGTTCGATGCAATCGATGGATCGGTGCCAGACACGTGGAATACAGAGTCGGTCGCCCGCGTCCTTGATGCTTGTGAAGCAAACGAAGCTATGCACCAAGCTGACACGCGCATTGAGTAGCCCGTTCGGCGCATTGAGTAGCCCGTTCGGCAGCGCAAAGGAGACTCGACCTGCAGTGGCGGCGCAGATCGCGCCGTCCACAAAGTCGCGGACGGGGTCGATAATACCGGCATATCCGCAGAAGGTGCGGGTGGGCGGATCTAGCATGCACTGCCACGCAATGTCCCGGTCCTCTCCGCCGTCAGAGCAGTGACCCACCAGCGGGTTGCAATCTGCGGAGACGTGTCGATATGGTTTGGTGTGGACAGCACAAACCCTACCCTCTTCAGCCTCGCGGCGTTCACTGCCATCGCCTGTTGGGTTGAAATTCAGCGGCGGCGGCATTGCTGCTGTGTATAGCAGCAGCGCTGCCCCGGAGAAGGCGGTGGCGCCGACGAGACTTGGGCGACGCCAGCCCGATTCAGACAACAGCGCGCGTCGCACATAGGCACCCATGAGCGCCAGCACTGCGCCCGCCAAGCAGCCGAAACCGGGGAGATCAACTTGAGAGCGATGGCAGGGAAAAAGGGTTCCTCTTTTCCGCGCCCCGCCCGCAAGGCGCGCGATACACACACACACACACACACACACACACACACACACACACACACACACACACACACACACACACACACACACACACACACACACACACACACACACACACACACACACACACACACACTGCTGCGGAGACTGCACCAATGTGTGCGCGGAACAAAGCGAGCGTTCAGGTCCACCGAGTCCGAGTGCGAGTCCAGGCGTGGAAGGGTTCAGTTACGTCCCAAATGACTGCCCGCTGAACTCAACAGTGCAGCTGGCCTCGGGTGGAAAAAAGGCTGAGTACTTCTTCTGCGGCACGCGCTTTGTCGCAGTTAAAAATCCCACCTGGCTCGCAAACTTCCGCGCCATCGCGGCACGGCCCGATGACGTGATTTTCGCGACGCAACCACCCGCCGGCAAAGCCAAAGAGGCTGGCTTGGGTCTCATCAAAGCTTTCACCGGCGCGCGCGAAGTGTCGGGCCACACCGAGTTTTACGACTTTGAAATGGACCCGTCAGGATCGGGTCTCAACCTCGAGGCACCAGGCCGGCGCCTGTTCGGGACCCACGTGTCGTTCGAGTGGTTGCCGACTTCAGTCCTGAGCACGCCAGCTGGTCAGTCTCCGTGCAAGGTCGTTATGTTGGTGCGCGAGCCAAAGGAGTACATAGTCGCTGCAAACGATTTCGCTGGGGGGGGCGCTGCGGGCATCGACCCGCTCTTGGAGAGGCATGTCGGCGCAGCGCTTGGCTCTGGTGACGGCGAGATGGGTGCTGGCAGCCGCGGCTTCGCGGCCTTCACGAATGGTTACTCCGCTGCACTTGGTGGCTCAGGCAACGGCGGCCCCAATGTGTTCCTGCTGAGCCAAACCCACTTGGCCAATCCATCCACAGTTGAGGCGGAGGTGGCCCGCTTGGCCGCGTTCCTTGGGATTCTGGACTACCAAGAGCAGATGTATGAAGATGCCGTCTCCAAGGCGCAGTCCAGTGCTGCCACGGCGCTGGGTAGCGTGGGCAAGATGACCGCAGAGCAGGCTGAGACTGCGGACACCGTCTTCAATGAACCGCTTGTCGACCAGCGGGCGACGTGCTTCTACTCGAGCACAATGGCATGCGAAGGCATGTCCTTTGGCACTGCACCTCCTGGCAACACTCCTGAGGAGGAGGAGGAAGAGGAGGGGGCAGGTGCTAGCACTGGTGGTGCCCCAAGAGGTCGTGGTGGTGGTGAGGAGGAGACAGGTGGCCCCCAAGGTTCAGGTGGCGGCGGAAGCTTGGGCCGTGGCCGCGCCTAGGCGACTATAGAGTGACACCCAGCGTGGGGCAGACCTGAGCGCTAGCCAGGTGAGTTCAGGCTGACCGTGGCGCGGCCCACTCTAGGTGGTCGAGTGGCCCCCCAGAGAGCAGAGTGCCCTCCAGGCCACTCTCACTACTCTCACACCATGACACACGAGCCACATTCCGCGGCGAGACCCTAGACGTTTTACACCCCGTGTGAACCTCAACATTTTACCATCTTCTCGCATCTCGGTCTCCAAAAAGTAACTCGCCACCAACACGCGCCAGGTCTGCTGTCTTGTTACTAGCGTGGCCCTCGAACGACATGTCAACTCAACTGAGCGGCGAACTGTGAGCGGCTAACTCTCTGTCAGCGGCTAACTGGTTCCTACCCCTTTTGCGCCGCCGCTCCGCTCGCGGATGAGGCCGTCGAGCCATGTGGCCACATGCCCCTGCCCGTTCTGCCGTGCAAGGTCAGCAACCGTGCGGCCTTCTAGGTCGAGAAGGTCGAGCTGCTCGACGAGCTGTGGTCCGTCGGCGGCGAGGAGAAGCCACTCGAGTGCCTGTGTGGCGTCGAGCCCTGTCATTCATGCCTCTGGGCGGAATGGGGGGGGGGGGGGGGCGAGGGAGGGCACCTCTCTATGTCCCTTCCACGCCGCCTTGACCACCGCGCCGTGGTTTGCGTCGTTCACGTGGCCAAGGGAGAGCCTCTTTGACTGCAGCCAGCGCAGCGTCGCCACGCTGCCGGCGGCGGCCGCCCACTGCACCGCCGCGCAGCCAAACTTGTTGAGGGCGGCGATGTCGACACGCGGGTGCGAGGCCAGAAGCTCCATCGACGGCACGTCTCCTGTGAGGGCGGGCGGTGGCGGCGATGGCGGCGGGGAGAGCGGGCATGGCGGCGGTGGCGGCGAAGGAGGCGGGGAGGTGTGACGTCGATGGGGTAACGAACGGGTGGAGAGGCACCAGAGAGCACGGCCCAATCGAAGGCGCTCGACCCGTCCTTCATGCGCAAGGTCGGGTCGGCGCCAGCCACGTCGAGCAGGTAGGCGGCAACCTCGCACTGCCCCGTCTTGCACGCCCACTGCAGCGCAGTGCGCCGGTCCTTGTTCGCCGCGTCGACGGCGACGCCAACCTCCTCGCACAGCCAGCGCACGACGGGCAAGTGCCCCCCCCCGCTCGCCCACATGAGCGCTGTGCTCCCGTGCTTGTCGGCGGCATGCGCCGGCAGCCACTCCGCGTCGGCGGCGAGGCCCCGTGCCTTTGCGAGATCCCCGACGGCGCAAGCGCCGATCCCGCCGATTGGCCTCAGCGGCATCTGCGTGTCGCGCCCGTCGCGCTCGAGAATCGAAAGCGCCACCGCCCGACGACCCCCAGGGGAGAGGGACGCTGCCGCCGCCGATCTAGCGGCAACCTCGCCCGCCGCCGCGCACTCCCCCTCGCACCGCAAGGCGCGGGCAGAGTGGCCGCGGCGCTGCTGTCTCTCGGGGCGCGCCCACCTCTCCCCCCGCCACGAGCGGCCCTTCTCGACCAGCATACCTGCGGTGTGAACACACCGAGGTCAGGGTGTGAATGCGGTATCGTGCAGTGTACTCATAGCACGAGCAGGGTCTGCTGCGAATACGGCGAATACGCGCTGAGAACACAAGCAGATCCAGCTGAATACGTCCCCTCTTGAGTGCTAGTCGGAATGCAGAGATGTGTACGGCGGTGGTATTCCGCTGCTAGGCCAGCGTGCCCATCGTCATCGTCTCGGGCGCCTCGCCAGAGACGGCGAGGGTGAGTCCGTGCTTCGCTGCGAGCGACACCATCGCCACCGCGAGCACAGAGTCGCCGCCGAGCGCTCCAAAGGGAGACGAGTCGGAGAGAGCCGCCGCCTCGCCCTCCTCGAGGTCGAGCACGTGCTGCCACACGCCCCGCAGCAAGCTGAGCGCGTCAGCGGCGGAGGCGCCGTGCCGCGGCAGAAAGGGGAGCGGCGGCCGAGCGGCGCCACGTGCCTGCATCGCCTGCCCGACGCTCCGACTCTCGCGTGGGATCCGAGCGAGCCGCTCGGCGATGCACACCAGCGGAGCCTCGTCCGACCACTGCGCCGTGGCGCCGCTACCCCCAGGCACGCCGCCAGCGCCGCCTTCGGTGCCGTGCGCATCGGCCGCCTTCGCCGCTGCCGCCGCCGCCTCGGGATCAAAGACGAGCTCCGCGAGCGCGCGCGCCGGAAAGTCGTACCATACCTCCGGCGGCGCGCCCGCCCACGCGTCGAACGACGAGTCCGCGCTTTCCTCTGCAGCGGCGGCGGCGGCGCCTCCCTCGCGCTGCACCGCGCGCACGAGCGTCGCTCCGTCGGTGGCGTCGCGAGTCGCTTCGAGGAAGCGGCGCAGCGGCAGATTGCGGCGGCTGCCTACCACCCGGACGGCGACTCTGGGTTCGGGTACCGTGGGGGTAGGGGATGGGTTCGGGTACCGTGGGGGTGAGGTGATGGCTGCCTACCACCCCGACGGCGACGCGGGTGCACGCCGGCCGGGCGCGTGTCGCTCGCTCGCCGAGCTCGCGCAGCATTCTGTGCTCAACGCCTCTGCCGAGGACGCGGCACGACATGCAAAAGCTGAGGGCGCGGAGCGCCCCCCCGCGCCGCTCAAGCACTGCCCCTCCGACCAGCCCATACGAGCCGTACCGGTCGGCGACGCGCACGCAAAAGGCCTCGCTGGAGGAGGCGCGGAGCAGGGCGGGCGCGGGCAGCGGACGCTTCCACGCGTTGAACTGGTTCGTGCGCTGGTGCAGCTCGATCAGCCGCTCCTCGGAGGCCTACCACACCACCCACGGGACTGAACCCACACGGGATTCGGTACTCTGGAGGTATGGTGCAGCTGCATCAGCCGCTCCTCGGAGCCGGCGCCGCCCGCCTCGTCCGCGCCGCCCGCGCCGCCCCCACCCTCCGCCCTCTCTGCTCCCCCCGCCGACAGAGCCTCCTCGACGCGGATTTCCAGCCCGAGGGAAGCGTGGTACTCTGCCAGAGACCCAGTCTGCTCGCGCAGCGCCCGCCTCTGGCCCTGTGCGAGAATGGACGAGACGCGCAGCTCCGCCGCGCCGCCCGCCGCGCCGCCCGCCACGTCGAGCCGCCAGACGTGCTCGAGCTGGGAGAGCGCCTATGGCGGCGCGCCAGGGGGCATGTTCGGCCATGCCGCCCCTCCCGCACGCCCAAAGGACTGCACTCCATGGGGGCCCCGCCTCGTCTCTCTCTTGCGGGAAGCACCAGCAAGTGATCGAGGGCCAAGCGGCGGAGACGGCGGCAACCTCCATTGGGTTGTCGTCGACGAAGAGGCACGCCTACGCGGCCGCGCCACGCTCATGGCAACCGACTCTCGCCGCCGGTGGGTCGCCGCTGGTGCTGTCTATGCCGGCGCGGACGTGGCAGTGGGCAGGGAGGGAGACCGCTTCTCGGACCGGACGCACACCGGCGTGAAGGGGGCAACCGATGGGCGGGGAGGACGGCGTCACAGGGTCGCGGCGCGCGCCTCTGGCCCACACTGCAGCTCAGCACAGATTCGAGCCACCGCGTCCCCCTTGTCTAGCACGCGCGCGATGCGGTGTGCGCTGACGTCGCACCGGCGCAGCAGCGGCGCAGACGCGTCGGGCGGCACCGCCTCTGCGCGGCCGAGGGCTTGCCACACCTGCGTTCGAAGGTCGTACCACGGTCTGACGTCAGCGCGACATCGACGCCGCCTCGGCGCGGCCGAGAGAACTGCACGCGCCTCGCCCGGCTCGTTGCGCGACGCAATGGCGAGGAGGACGCCGCGCGCGTGAAGCTGCTTGAGCCGCCGCTGCAGCGCGAGGTGGTGCGCCTCGCATACGACTCCGCGAGGTCCCACCTGCAGCGCAAGACTCACCGGCGGCGTCTGCGCGCGCACTCCCGGCGCGGCGCGGTGTGTCGGCAGTGCGCGTGTGGCTGTGGGGATGCGGTTGCAGACGCCTCGCCTCGCCGAGGGCGTGCGACCACAGCGTGTAGTCGCAGTCGACCACCACGAGCTTCAGCGGCGGGAGCAGGGCCGGCACCGACCCGCGAACAGCCGCAGCGCCGAGCGCGCACCACATCTGCTCCGTGTATGGCATGTGCCCGATCTCGTCGCCGAGCGCGTCATGCACGTCCGTCACAGCGTACTGCCGTGCGAGCGTGAGCGCGTCGATGATGGCCAGGCGCGGCTCGGAGGAGGCTAGAGCTTTGAGCCGTTCGGCGGCGGCAGCGAGCAGCGGAGCGTGCGCCGACGGCCGGCCCGGGCAGATGCATATCACCAGCCGGCGGACGTTAGCGAGCGCGCCGCGTACAGACACGAGGAAGGTGGACAGGTCATCCTCAAACCGATCGGCGTCGAACGGCGCGTGCCCGCGCTGCCAGTCGTCCATGCGCAGCAGGCCAACACAGCAGGCTGCACCACGGAACGCCTGAGGGCCCCGCAGCTCAAACTCCAGCTGTCCGTAGGCGGCAAAAGAGACCGATGCGTTCAGACCCGCCTGCTCGAGCCAGAACTCGGCCCACCGGCGGACCGGGTCGCAGGTGAAGGTTGAGGCGATGGCGACGAAGGGCTGCTCCATGGTACACGGCAGAGAAGCTGGAGGCAGGTCGCTAGACTGAGATGAGATCGCCAGTGGAGTTGGGAGGCCACCGTGCACCGCGCCCAAGTGCGGAATTGGCTTTCTTTTGGCGTCGAGCAAGTCGCAAGAGGGGCGAGTATGGTAGAATTCTTTTGGCGGGCAAGTCGTGTCCCTGTCAGGAGAAGGAGAGCCCCACCTGTGCCCCTGATCGTCCTTCCAAAATCCTGCTCGTGCAGGTGTGGACCCTGTCCTCCTCCCCCATCCCTCGTTGGGACCGTCTCGTTTCTTTCTTTCTGACCGCGCAAGACAAAGGGTGGCTCAGGGCTCTGCCCGCAAGGCGCCCGCGTCGCCGACGCGGTACCATTGACTAATCCCGGAATACACACCCACACGACCAAATAGCGAACTCGCCACAGCCTGTTCCTGGCTCGTGCCCATCGACAGCCACCCCCTAACCCCCCTCCCCCCCCCCCTTATGTGCGCGCACTGGCGCTGCCGCTCGGGCTGCCATAAGTTGGCTAGGGTTGTATGTGCGCTGGTAACAACAGACTCGGGCATAGCCCTCGACAGCCACCCCCTAACCCCCCACCCCCCCCCCCTTTATGTGCGCGCACTGGCGCTGCCGCTCGGGCTGCCATAAGTTGGCTAGGGTTGTATGTGCGCTGGTAACAACAGACTCGGGCATAGCCCTCGACAGCCACCCCCTAACCCCCCACCCACCCCCCTTTATGTGCGCGCACTGGCGCTGCCGCTCGGGCTGCCATAAGTTGGCTAGCACCACTAGCTCCGATCCGTTTTATTCCTTAATAGGCGGGGAACGGCAATCAGCCCTCCGGCATCGGAGCATTTGCCAACATGCTCTTCCGCCGCCCATCGGCGTGAGCGGACTGAAGTGTGTGGAGCATTCGTCGGCGCGCCGCCCCGCCGTGCCTCCACGCAGCGCCACTCCCCCGGCACGCGCGACAGCTGCAAAGGTCCTCCTCGGGCCTAGACTCTAGTCAGCGTCGTGCGAGCCATCTTTGTGTGTGTGAGGGGATATGACTGCGGGCCTCGCCTGCTCGGCCGCCTCTCCTTTCCTCTCCCGTCGCCGACGCGAAGGGGCGAGGGGTCGGGGCGAGGCCCGCGCGCCTCTGCAATCTGCTGTGTGTGGGTCCTGTGAGACCTCGAGGGAACTGTTTGACTGTCGGCGGAGAAGGTGTCTCTCTTGGCACTTCACTGCCATCGTCTTTGTACAATTTATGCTTTGTAACATTGCCTTGGACTACGAAGGATGAAAAATACGTAATGCGTAATGCGTATGCGTGATACGTAGGGGGGGGGGGGGGCTCGGGGGCGCGCGGGGCGAGATACATAATCCGGAAACGTGAGACGTGGTACGTAAGGCACCCGCCGCGCGGGCCATTGCACCGTCCCCGGGGCAAAGCTTTGCGGTGAAAAGGACGTATGCGTAATGCGGATACGTGATACGTCGAAGACGCCCCGCCCTCCGCGGGCCGCGGCGCACCGGCGGAGATCCATAATCCGTATACGTGACACGTGGTACGTATGAGGCAACCACAGGGCCATCGCACCGTCACGCACGCGATGATTACGTGTATGTATTGACGTTTTCTATTTATTTTTGAAGGGGGAGGCGTTCGACGGGCTGCGTAATGCGACGCATTTGGACTGGCAAGTGACGTACACGCACCGAGTTTACGTATTCCCGAGAGGGCGTAATGTGATGCGTATGCATATGGGCCTCCGTGCATATGCGTAGCAGTACTGACGACGATTGTGCGATTTGTTTTTTCATCACTTTTAGGCCTTAGTAAAATTCTTTTTTCGAGTGTTAGTGCCAGTGCGCTCCAGTCCCGAGAGAGAGGGAGGGGGAGAGAGAGAGAGAGGGAGAGAGAGGGAGAGGGAGAGAGAGAGAGAGAGAGAGAGAGAGAGAGAGAGAGAGAGAGAGAGAGAGAGAGAGAGAGAGAGAGAGAGAGAGAGAGAGAGAGAGAGAGAGAGAGAGAGAGAGAGAGAGAGGGGGGGGGGGGTGTTTGTGTTTGATTGTCAGTCCCAAATATGAAGCGCGGAGCCATACGGCGCGGACGCGATCGCATCAGCGCTGGCGCAAGGCAGAGGCCAGAACGCTGCGACGCGGCGGGGCGCGCTCTGCGGCGTTTCCTCAAATATTTATTGGCCCCTGCCTCTCCCGCCGCCGCCGCCGCCGCCGCCGCCACGAGGTCGGTCGCGACGCAGTGGCCAGTGCAAGCCGTAGTCTTACTAGTGGCACCCCGAGGCGCTACGGAAGCGCGGGTCGCAACACGCGCGGCCGTTTTGCCAGATCCTGATCCATGAGCACACAACGATGTGTACAGAGCACCCTCGGCTCAGCCCAGTAACAGCGGCCAGCCTTTCAACAAATGGCTTCACGAAGGACGGCGCAAAACTGGCGACGAGGTCCTGCACACAAAACCGCAAGGACGGATGGATTCGGTCACGTCGCCCGTTCCGCCTGGGAGAGTGGTAGAGTGCGCGCATCTCTCGTCTCGTCGCCAACGAGCGGCGCGTTTGTGCTCTCCACCCCCACCCCCACCCAGTCCCACATGCCCCGCAAATTATCTGAGCGACAGGCCCCAAATCACGCGACGCGCGTCCCTTTGCGCAATCGAAACGTTCTGCGGCGTGAAACGACACGCGGAGGAGATTCCTTTTGAAGACAAAGACCGAGCACAAAACGGGGGGGCACGCGCGGCGCGCCCACCCTTCCCACGCTGGGCCCTCACCTCGCGAGAGTCTGAGCCAACCCATGTGAGACGGTCAAACGGATTGGGACTCGGCGTCGAGCGCATCGTTCACTCCTCCTCGTCGGGGTCCGAGGACTCGTCCGCGACGACCGGCTCGGGCTCCTTGGCCGCCGCCTTGACCTTCTTCTTTTGCGGCTTGGCCGCCGGCTGCTTCTTCGCGCCCTTGGGAATGGTTTGGATCGTGCGCCATTTCTCGCCGCGCGCCGCCTTCTTAATCAGCGACTTGGCCTCCGCGGACTTCACGGCCTTCACCACCTGTTCGACACAACACACACAGGCGCATGTCCCCAAACCTCGGTGCTAATACAAGGGCGACGCGTGGCGACGCGCCTTCTTTGCCGTTTTCGGGTTCATCTCGCCAAAGTCCTCGGGGTACTTGTCACCCAGCTGCTTCTTGATGTAGGGGAGGCTGATGCCGGCGGCCTCGAGGGACTCGTCGACGATCTCCTGCGGGCGCGCGCGGGGGGGGGGGGGGGGGGGGGTTTAACCAAAAGGGTGCCGGTGGGGGGGCCCTCTCCGGAGGGGGGGCTCTCATTGGGGGCCGATTTTGGGGGGGGGGGCGCGGGAAAACAGGGGTTGGGGGGGGGGGGGCTCCCCTTTGGGAAAAGATCAAAAGGGGATACCCGTGCCCGGAACAGGGGGGCCGGGGCCAAGAAAACCCCCGGGAAGGCCCCACAGGGCTTTGCCCGCCCAAGCCCAACCGGGGGCCCGCGTCCAACGGGGCCCTCAACAAACAAGGCGAGGCGGCGGCGAGCGGTGGCGACGTGCTATCCAGGTGCAGCGGAGGAGGATCGGGGGCCGGGCGCGCACGATGATCATGGTCTCGGTCGTGGTAGGCGCCATTTTGCTGTATCTACGGAGGAACGCCGACGACCGTGCAGGGTGGTGTGATTGCTGTAGTGTTCGTTTGCAAGCGCCGGCGATGAGCAGCCGCGGCGGGGAGGGCGGCTCGGGTTTGGGTCCATGGGAGACGAGGCGTGCGGCGGCGGGGAGTGTGTGTGTGTGTGCGGAGGAGGCTGCGGGCGCGGGTGGAGGGTGGGAGGAGGCGTTTGCGGCGAGGCCCACCAAAAAGCTATGCCGTTCTGGTCTTCTGTCTCTAGCAAGAAAAAATATTACGCCCCCACCCGTGCGAGTCGCTACCCACTGCGGCGCACAGGTGTTCGCGCGGTGCGAGTGGGCGCAATAAAGAATCTCGCGTGCCCTGCTTCTCCCACAGCACAACAATGAGAGAAACCACCGTGTGCTATCTGCGGCCAAAACGCGGCCCAACCGGCAAGGCGGCAGGCCCGAGCGCTGCGAGCGGAGAGCGTCGACTCCGGGCCGCTCCTTCAGGAAACGATGGTTAGAGAGCGCGCGTTCGCTACAATACTGGCTCGCGGCTGGCTCGCGGCGCAAGCCTCCGTCATGCCTCCTGCCCTCCCGCGTCCAGGTTTGCCGCGCTGCCACCGGCGCCGGAGTCAGAGGGAGCCGGTCGAGCCCGAGTGGAGCGCCACTTGCTTCGAGAGGAGCTTCGCGTAGACGCCCGTCGGCCTCGCCATGAGCTCGTGGTGCGGGCCCTCCTCGGCGACCCTCCCCCCCTTGACGACGCAGATGCGGTCGGCGTTCCGGATGGTCGACAGCCGGTGCGCGATGACGACCACCGTCATGCCCACACCTCGACCTTCTTGGGCAGCAGCTGGTTCGACAGGTCCTCTCCGTGGCCTAGGCAGCCGGCCTCGCCCTGGCCCCAGGAGAAGACGGCGCCGTCGGCGGTGAGGGCGAGGCTGTGGTGCTGTCCAGCCGACGCGGCGATGACGGGCTGGCCAGCAAAGGCCTCGACCTTCTTGGGCTGCCACACTCGTGCTGCTCGTCGCCGTGGCCTAACCGGCCATTGCCTCCACTGCCCCAGCTCCAGATGGCTCCGTCGGAGGTGAGGGCGAGGCCGTGGCTCTCTCCAGCCGACACAGCGACGACGCGCCGGCCAGCAAAGGCCTCGACCTTCTTGGGCAGCAGCTGCCTCTGCTCGTCGCCGTGGCCCAACTTGCCAAAGATTTCACTGCCCCAGCTCCAGGCGGCGCTGCCGGCGGTGAGGACGAGGCTGTGGTCGCATCCAGCCGACACAGCGACGACGCGCTGGCCAGCAAAGGCCTCGACCTTCTTTGGCTGCCACTGGGCCTGCCCGTCGCCGTGGCCCAACCGGCCAAGGGTTCCAATGCCCCAGCTCCAAATACTGCCGGCGCCGGTGAGGGCGAGGCTGTGCAGACCTCCAGCCGACACACTCACGGCACGCTCACCGCCCAGCGGGGAAGAAGAAGGGAGGCGTGTCAAAACAGCGTGCTCAACAGCGAGAGCGCCGCCGCTGCTCCTCCTCCCGCCGCCGCTCCGCTCACCGAGACAAACTCGGTGCCGCCGTTCTCGCCGCCGCCGCCGCCGCCGCCTCGCCCCTCGCCTCCGTCACCGCCGCCCTCCATCTCGCGGCGGCGTCCCTCTGATGGCGCGGGCGCCTCGCTCGCCGGCGCGCGCCTCGCCGCTGCCCCCCTCTCGCCGCCGCTCCGCTCGTGGCCGCCGCCTCCCCTGTCAATCCCACCGTCCGCACCACCGCTGCCACCGCCTCGCGCGTCGCCACCGCCGCCACCGCCCTCCCCCTCGCCGCTGAGCGGTGCTTGGCGAGCCTCTCACCGTCCCGCTCCCGGCCGCGGTGCGCACAGCCTGTGCACACTCTCGCCTTCTCTGTACTCTGACTGCGCCGCCGGCGCCGCCACGCATGCAGTTGGGTGCTTGGGTCAGCGGCGTGAGCCGAGAGGTGGCCCACCGCTGACAGCGCTCAGCGCGCGGGGGGGGGGGGGGGGGGGCACACACGCGCGGGACGCGCCCCGGCAGCAGCTCCTGCCTCCTCTCCGCTCTCGCGCCACCCCGCGCGCGGGGGCGTGACGTCTGTAGCGAGGCGACGGTGGGACGGTGTCCGACCCGTTCTGGGGTTTTCATATAATGCGGCTCTACTCGTATCGACCAATAAAATACCGGGGGAGGCCTGCGCAGCCTCTAACTATATATCGCCAAGGGAAAGATTTTGCCAAGGAAACAACGATTTCCCCCGGGGAGGCGGCGGCGCAAGTCCTAGAGGCCCCGCCCACCCAGGGTACCCTCTCCGAGGACCCATTGGGCTCATTCGAGGACTCGCCGGGGCTCTGCTCCAAGAGACCTCGAGAGAGCGTGCGTGTGCCTCTACTCGCAAGGCCGCAGCTCGGCGCCGAGAAAAATCTTCTCGGCGCCCATCTCTACAGCCACGCGCTAGCCCAAGCAAGGCATCGCTGCGGGCGCGTCTGACAGCCCCTCTGCACATGGACGACGACGCACGAAAGCTCGCGCTGCTGCAGCAGCTCGCCCAGCCAGACTCGGAATCAGAGGACGAAGGCGAGAGCGACGACGAGGACGAAGGCGAGGGTGAGAGCGACGACGAGGACGAAGGCGAGGGTGAGAGCGACGCCTCCACTGCCCAAGACGAGCTTTCAGGCATCGTTCCACCGCTCGACGCGCACGGCCGAGTCGCCGGCTGCCCACCCGTCGATCGCTCCACTCGGACTTACCGCGACGCTCTGGTCCTGGACGATGCCACGCTCGAATCGCTCCGTCGCGACTGCTCCGTGGTATACTCGCTTGACGGCTCAAACTGGCAGGGCGCGGACCAGCCGCCGCGCTGCCTGATGGAGTCGCTCGCCCTCGCCGTCTTCGAGCGGCACACGCGCGGCCTCGAAGTAGACCGGACGCGTTCGGGTGCAGAGTGGTGGGCGCAGGTGCGCACTCCCGGCGACCAGGCTGAGCCGATCCAGTGCCACTGGGACGTGGATGAATTCTGCCAGGACGCGCTGGGCGTTGCGATCTCGCCCGCCCTCTCCACCGTCACTTACCTCTCCGACGCGGGCGCGCCGACGCTCCTCGTCGACGCGCGCACACCCAAAGGCTATGCCGTGCGCCGCGCGTACGGCGCCGTGACGGCGGCGACGCTCTCCTACCCGCGCCGCGGCAAGCACCTCGTATTCGACGGCCAACTGCTGCACGGCGCGGTCCCACTCGCGCGCGGGGCGGCTGGCGACGACGACAACCGCGGCGGCGGCGGCAGCAGCGACGGTGGCGGCGGCGGTGGCGGCGGCGGTGGTGGCGGTGGTGGCGGCGGTGGCGGCGGCGGCGTGGATGGCGCGCGCGTGACGCTGCTGGTCAATGTGTGGCTGGGGCACATGCCGTGCAACATCGAGCCGATGCCCGACTCGCTGCTGCCGCTGCTCACACCGCTGCCAGCAGACGACGCCTCCGCGGCCGCAGCGACGCGCCGACTCGCCGGCGCGGGCGACACGGGCGCCGGCGCGGGCTCGGACGGCCATGCGTCCGCCGACGCGCAGCTCGCCGTCCGCATTGGCCGCGATCCGACCCCGGGCAGCACTCTCTTCGAGACCAACTTTGGGAGAGGCGCACCGCGCCACCGGCTGACCTTGCCGCTACCGCCGCCGCCGTTGTTTGGCTGCGCCGGAGCCACAGCTCGCGACGCCGCCGCCTGCGACCAGACGCCCCTCTCCCCACACGACACCGTCTCACTCCGCTTCGACGGCGGCGCCGGAGAAGGCAGCGCGCGCATCTGCGCCGCGCTGCGCCGCGCCGCGCCGGAAAAGTCCCCGGCGGCAGCGTGCGAGGCTGCGCTTGGGCCCACTGGAAAGCGCCGGCGCAGGGACGGGTAGAGCCGTAGTGGCGCTGGCCTAGCGGCTGGGCTGGAGCCAGCCGCCAAGCGCTGATCCGCGGATGCTTTTGAATAGTTACTTGATTCGGGCAAATGCCGTCCACTCCAGCGCCTCCGTTAGAGACACGCGCCACAGCCACCAATCACCACGAAAAGCGCGATACACACCGGGTCGCAAATGGCAAAAACTCGAAGTTCAGCCAGGATGATCAGGAGACTTATCAGGAGCCTCTGAACCGTGCGGCGGAGAACGGAGGAGGGCCTCGGCCTCGCCCGGGCCCAGGAAGACGTGGACGCTCCACCGCTTGTTCTCCTCTGCGCGGCGCCGTTCGGCGGCGGACGCCGCTCGTCGGCTCGCCTCGGCTTGGGCGCTGTGCGCGGGCCGCTCGACCGCCGGGTGAACCTGCGCGTGCAGCACCTCCATCAGCTCGACCATGCGCGGCAGGTTCCAGGAGAAGTCGGCGCCGGCCGGCGCGACGGCGCCGAGCCGCTGCCAGTGCGGAAGCAGCCGGTCGAGCGCTCTCTCGGCGTCCGCGTCGCCACCCGACTCGCCCGACCACCACCACTCGAGCCACACCGGCGGCCGCCGGCGGATGGCAAGGAGCTCGCGCAGCCGCGCCACCACGGCAGTCCGCCCGGTCGGAAGTGGATCCGCGGCGGGCGGCAGCGGGAGGCCAGGCAGTGGCCGGGCAGGCGGCCTCGGCGGCGAGAGCAGGTCCGGCCAGCGCCGCTCGGAGTAGAGGTGGCGAAGGCACTCGATCGCCGCGATCGAGTCGCGATCCAGCCGCGAGGGGCTGCCGGAGAGGCGGCGGCGAAAGAGCGAGGAGGCCGCCATCGGAAAAGCGAGAGAGGAAGAAGAGAAAGAAAAATATAGTAACCGAGAGAAAGTCGAAAAAAAACCGAGGAAACCAAAAGGGGGGAACCCCCCCACCTTTTCTTCGCCGGCAAGCAACTTTAAGAAAAAGAATTCTCCGGGAATCGGCTCCTTTGCCCGCTTCTGTCGCTGCGCTTCTCGCTCGGCGGGTGCTCGGGCGCCGCGATGCCAAAGGGCACGGGCAGGATCGTCATCGATCCGTTTACGAACGGCCTCCTGACCACGCTGTTTGGCCTCGAGGTGGTCGCCGTGTTTGCGGTGCTCCTTGCGCTGCCCGGCGCGCTGCCCGCCGGCTGCCCGCTGACTGGGCCGCAGGCGTTTGCTGCGCTCGCCGTCACATGCCTTGCGCTCTTCCCGCTGATCGGGCTCGTCAAGCTCATCGCGGGCCACGCGTGCGCCCTCTTGAGCCGCACGGCGCTGGCGCACCTCGGGGATCCCGTCGCCAAGGTGAAGACGCGAAACAAGCTCCGCGACCAGAGCTGGCAGCTGACGATCCACTCGGCGATGACGGCGCTCGAGGCGTACATCCTCTTCGTCGACGGCGGCGGCGAGCACTGGCTCGACGACTACCGCTCGCTCTGGACGCCGCACCCGCACCAGCAGGCAGGCTGCGCACCCGTTGATGCGCCTCTTGCCACACGCGCTCGACAGCCGCAGACGCCTCGGCCTCGCGCGCAGCCAGATTGCGCACGTTGGCCGCGCAGCGCGTCGAGGCGTCAGCAGCAGCATCGCGCTCCTCCGCTGCGCCAGCAGCTCTCGCACCGCACGCGTCTGCCCAGCACACGCCCCACCGCCGCCGCCCACCCCTCCCTGCCTCCCTCCACGCGCCGCCCGCGACAGGTGAACAGCAAGCGGTCGGAAATCTCGGGTAATCTCGGGTAATCTCGGGTAATCTCGGGTAATCTCGCGACAGGTGAACAGCAAGCGGTCGGTGCACCTCCTGTACCTCCTCCAGATGGCGATCTGGATCGTGACGTGCGCCTCCTCCCGCCTCTGCCACCCGCCGCTGCTGCCTCTGCCACCCGCCTCCTCCCGCCTCTGCCACCCGCCTCCTCCCGCCTCTGCCACCCGCCTCCTCCCGCCTCTGCCACCCGCCTCCTCCCGCCTCTGCCACCCACCGCTCGCTGCGAGAGCGGTCGAAGACTGCGCCGCCTCCGCCGCCGCTCTCCTCCGCCGCACGGCTCCGCGTGCTGCGCGACGCCGCGAGAGCGCACTACCTGCACACGCGCTCACCCATGATTCGGCCCGCCGCCGCCGCCACGACACAGGTGCGCCTCGCACCGCTTCCTCGAGGAGCGGCACAAGGACTATGTGATGATGTACGTGCACCACCTCGTGACGATCGCCCTCTTCGCCCTCTCGTACGGCTTCAACTTTGTCCGCATCGGCACGGCGGTCTGTGACCACCGCCCCCACCCCCACCCCCCACCCCACCCCACACCCTCACCTCACCCCCTCACTCCCTTCGGGAAAGTTACACGCGGACCCTGTGTCCGACCCCCCCCCCCCCCCCCCGGCCCCCGCCCGCCCCCGCCGCCAAGTCATCTTCCTCTAACCCTAACCCTAACCCCAACCCTAACCCTAACCCTAACCCAGGTCATCTTCCTCCATGACTCCTCCGACATCGTCATCGACCTCCTCAAGATGGCAAACTACCTCAAGCTCGAGGGGCGGCGGGGCGGCTTCCTGGTCCGAGAGACGGGGGAGATGCGGGGAGATGCGGGGAGATGCGGGGAGATGCGGGGAGATCTCGAGCTGGAGGGGCGGCGGGGCGGCCTCCTGTATCTCTCCTCCCATCTCCCCCCCGCATCTCCCCACACCTCGGCCCTGGAAGCCAGAGGCGGACCCGTGCAGCCCGACGGGCGCTCGAGAGAGGACGCGGCGTCCGCCGCTCTGCGCTGTACTCGCTCCGCTCGCACACGCGACACCTGTACTCACTCCCGGACTCTGGCGCCTCCACACAAAAGCGCACAGCCCCAAGCACGCACGCGGAGGTCGAGACGCTTCCCCTTCACACGGCGTGACGTGCACTCGCACAAGCACTCCTCCCCTCGGCCCAACGTCACACACGCACGGGCCGCCGAGAGCGGACAGAGACCGCCACCGACACCTCCCTCTGCACCTCGCAAGGTCGGGGCACCTCCGCCGCCCGAGATCGCCCGAGATCGCCCGAGATCGCCCGAGATCGCCCGAGATCGCCCGAGATCGCCCGAGATCGCCCGCGTAGGTCGAGGGCACCTTTGCCGCCACGCTCGGCGTGTGGGCGTACACGCGCCTCTACCTCTACCCCGTCCGAATCGTGTGGCAGGGGGTGCGTGGCGCCGCCCGGGATGAGCCGAGATCACCCGACACCCGAGATTACCCGATATTGCATGCACGTCCCCTAGGACCCCCGCCGCCAGCCCCCCCCCCCCCTCCCAAGTCTTGCCCGCCTCGGCCGCGCCGGCGCCCTGCACGCGCCTTGGATTCTGCTCCCGTGCAGGTGTGGTATGGGTCGCGCGAGGTCGTCACGGCGCCGGGCGCCTACGGCATGGACGGCTTCACTGCCGCGGCCGGCTCGCCCTTCACGCGCGGCCACTCCCCCGGCGCCAAGTGCGTGCATCCACTCGCGAATAGACTGCAAGATAGAAGTTTACAGTACGGACCATGCACCCGCACGCACACCGCTCCTCCTGCTGCTTGACTCTCTCTCGCTCTCTCTCCCTTGCTCCTGGAAGGCTGGGCGACGGCTCCTTTGACTTGTGGGCGAACCTCCGCGCCCTGCCGACGCACGCGACGCTACCAGGCTACTGGGCGTGTGGCTCGCTGCTGACGGCGCTGCTGGTGCGCGAGCGCACGGGGGCGGGGAAGCATGCCCCCGGGGGGAGGGAGAGAGGGAGAGGGAGAGGGAGAGGGAGAGGGAGAGGGAGCGAGAGAGGGAGGGAGGGAGGGAGAGAGAGAGAGGGGAGAGAGACCCGTCCATTTGCGGGGGGGTGTCCGCCGCCGCGAGCGCCGCGATTGCCCTCGCCCGGCAGGTGATGCATGTCATCTGGTACATGCTGCTATGGAGGCTGCTCTTCCGCTCCGTCCTCGGGCAGACGTTGCACGACGGGGGGGCGGATGAGTACGAGGGCGGCTCCGACGACGACCACGAGGCGCGCTCCCTCTCGCCCCCCCCACCCCCCCAACCCCCCACCCCTCGCCCGTCCCCACCGGCGCCCCCCCTCGCCGTTGCCTGGTTGCAGGACTGACGCGTCTCTTCTGGCGCCTGCGTGCACGCTTCCACAGCTGCGGTACAGTACGAGTGTATTTTCCACGTCGGCGCCTCGTGGGTGGATCTCTCACTGCGACAACCGGAGGCGACTCAGCCTCGCCGCGCCGGAGTCGCGGCTTGGCTGGCGCGCGGCGGTCTCTGCGGTTCCGCTTTTTATTTCGTCCACGCATTCGTGGCGCTCCGTGAGTCGTATGTGTGATGTCCGCTTCGTACATCGCATGTGTCGGATGTCGCGGGGGATGTCGCGATCCTCACCTACCTAGTCCAGGGCCCCAGCTTGATGTAGCCGTAACGCGTAAGAAGAGGACTTCGACCCATGACGAATAAGTGTATACGAACCGGTGAAAATTTACGATACCATCAAGCCGTGCCCCAACACGACACGACGACAGTCACGAGTCACGCATGCGCGCGAGAGCACATACCACATTATTGTGTACCTCTGTACGACTGGTACGCTACAGTACCCGTAGATCACCAACCTGGCGCGCTGGCCTGGCCCTTCTCCCACGACCGCACCTTCCGGCCCGAGACCTTGATGCGGTGAAGCGCGGCCTCCTGAGCGTCTCGCGGCAGGTGAGTGGCGCCACGCAGCAGCTGATAGTAGACACCGCCATTAGTGCGAAAATTGCCCGTTTCCGGCACCACCATCCCACCTGCTGCCTGCACCTGCTCTGTCTGGGCTAGCAGCTCGAGCGCAGTCGCGGTGCCAAGAAACTCGATTACAGCGCGCGGGATGCGGATCTGCGGCTCTTGGAGCTTTTGAGCGATGTACGCTGCGGTCTCTTCGTCGGGGGCGCTCATCACGCCACCGTGCTGCTCTGGAAACTCCCACTGGCAGTGACCGTTCTCGTAGCAGTAGTATATCTGGCCCGTCTGCTCGTCCCGATGCGCAACCCATCCGTGCGGCAGCTGTGGCGCTCCCATCTGGGCGAGGACCACCCCGGTCCTCAACGGTGGCGCTGGCAGCTTCAGCACAGCCGGAACGCGAGCAGCAGCAGAGATGCAGGCTAGCAGAGGCAGCTTCATGGGGGAGATAGACAGAAGAACTAACAGTGGGCACGGGAGAGTGCGCAAGACTCGGTCGCGATGGCCAGCACGGTTCGCTGTTTGTTCACAGCCTTGTTATTGAGAAGCGCTGTGCGCTGGTCTGTGAGAGGTTGAGGTGCGAGCCCTGAAGGCCCTGGGGATGGGGGGAGACTACCCGCGTTCACAGCACGCCCACGGTTCCCCCTGGGGTCGCCTCGTGAATAAACGAGTAGAGAGAGCGGGTGGATCATGGTTCCCATCACAGATCACAAAACACCGACATAGCACATGCGTACTTCCTACCCTACTTCGTAACGTACTCTCCACGACCAGTGAGACACTCTCCCACATGTAATAGAGTCGTTTGTGCTCTGTCGCTGTTCACAGGCGATGGTCGCCTCCCGCAGCAGCCGTGTCGCCGCCTCGATCTCAGGCCCGTCCCGCGGCAAGCCGACCTCGTGCGCGCGCGTCAGCACACCGCGCAGCGCCGCGTCGTCGAGCGGGCGGGCCGCATGCACCGTCACGAGGGCCGCCAGTGTCTGCTCGCGCTCGCGCATCGTGGCCTCGCGCACCTCCATCGCCTGCTGCACCACCGCGTCGAGATCCACGTCATGCCCTTGCCCACGTATGTTTGATAATGCATTCGTCTGAGCGAGAGCCCGGATGGAGCGAGCCGACCCACCGTGTGTATCGGTCTAGATTTTCTTACGTCTATGGCCATGGTCTTTTAGATTCTGTAAAATTCTTTTAGTACCTCCATGCTGTTGCGTATTTCGATACCGCGTTGAGGTGTGTGCGCGTGAGGAGTGAGGTGTGTGCGCGCCGCCCTCACCCCTCAGCACTTTGCGTACCAGGCGTGTCCGGGGGGACCGCGGGCTCCGGCGAGTCTCTATCAACATCTGCACGCGACGATAACTCTTCGCGTCGCGCTGAACAAGAGAACAACACAGACAGACGTGTACGTATTTGCGTCTATAGTAGGGATGCATCACAATGCGCAGGGTACAAGAGGGCCCTCGCTCTCTTGTTTGCTTCGACTGTTCACTGGCCCTGCGGGCGGACATCGCTGCACATTTCGCAGGCAAGGAAGAGCATGTTGTCGTTCTCGTAGGTGCAGTTTGGGCACGTCCACGTTCGCGGCCGCTTCCACATCTCAGAGAGCTTTGGCGTCCCCTCAGTCGATCTGCCAGCCGGCTGGCGGCGCGTCGGTTGGCTCGCAGCGGCAGGCCGGGATCGCGGTGGAGTGGCTGAGGGCGGCGGCGGCTCCGGCTCGTCGGCCTCCGTCGTATCGCCGCCGTCGTCGGAGAGCTCGATCGGCGCCTCCTCGCTGCCGCGGCTGTCCGCGGCCGCCGCGGCGGGAGTCGGGCCGCTGCTGGTCGCTGCCGTGGGTAGTGACGGCTTTGGCGACGACGGGGCTGCGGCGGGGGCGGCGCGCAACCGGTCGATCACCGACGTTGCCTGCACATCCACAAAGGTGGGGATGGAGAGCTGCAGCCTCGAGATGCTGCCAGCGCCACTGACCGCAGCAGCGCGGAGCTTGTTGAGCGCCTCCGCGGCGAGCGCCTCAGAGTTGCGGCCGCCGTTGGGCAGCGCAAACTTGCGCGAGCACCCGTTGCGTTTTTGCTGCTTTCCGCCGCTCGACCAATCTCTTGCTCCGTTCGGCGCCCACCAGCTGATGCACCCTGCCGTTGCCTTGCGGCCCCATCGCGCCTCGTCTGCCTTGAGCCGCCCTACCAGCTCGTCTGCGAGGATGCCGAGCCACTTGCCCAGCGTCTCGAGGTCATTGTTGCTGCACGGCTTGAACGACTTGAAGGCGCTCAGAGACTTGGGCTTGTAGCCCACCTTCACGTCCTCGCACAGCGTGCCTGCGCCCACGGCGTAGAGCCAATCCCCCGTTGACTCGCCAAAGAGCCGCCTCAGCTCAACGGGGCCGACAGTGGCGAGGTCAAAGGCCGTCCGCACCCGCGGCAGCTTCTCCTTGACCTCCTCGCCCAGCTTCCCGCCGAGGCCTCCAACCGCGGTCACCTCCACGTCGGCGAGGAGATTCGGCACCGCGCGCCGAAGCACGACCGTCTGCTGGTTGGGCTTGTGGCAGCCCAGCTTCGCGAGCATCTTTGTTTCGGCGATGCCCGCAGACATCTCGTAGCCAAGCTGCTCCTTGACGATCGCTCGGAGCCGCATGCACACGCTCGAGCCGGCGACCAGCAGCGCGTCATAGTCGTCCTCCGCATCGGGATCCCACTTGCCGGAGCCGCGCGCCGCCGCCCACGCGCCGGGGTCGGAGAGCACTGTCTCGAGCTCACCTCTCGCCAGGTCGGTCAGGTCAACGTACGCCTCGTCAATCGATGCTTTTTCCAGCGGCGCCTGAGCTGCGAGGAGCGAGAAGATCTCATCGGACTCATTGCGGTACAAGTCGAGCGATGCCTTGCCCGCGTCGTCCTTGGGCCGCGAGACCGAAACAGAGTCGTCCTGCGCCCAAGCCACGTCAGCGCCAATGACAGGCACGTGAGGCGTGAGCAAGTTCGGGCACAGCTTCTTTGCCTCGTCGACGCTCATCCCGCGCTCCACCCCAAACTGTCGAGCGACATAGTCGACGGCGAGCAGTCTGCCATACTGCTGCACTGCGCACGGAGCCTCCGCGCTGAGGCCGCGCTTCTTCTTCTCGACCTGTACGTACCAACAGTCCAGATCAAGTAGAGCGACGACGGCTGGGCGCTTGCTGTCGTCGAGACTGGTCGCCATGGTTTTGGGCGCTGGCAGCGAGAGCAGCCGGGCGATGGATGGAAGCAGCTGGATGGGGGCAGGCCGCGTTCGGCTGTTTCTTTTTTCCAGCAGGATTTCTTTTCGCAGCAGAATGGTTGCTCCGTCGACGCAGGCCGCTGCGGCGCCCACGGCGCCCACGCCGCCCAAGAAGAAGAAATCGAACGCCAAGCTGAAGCGGCTGAGCGGAGAGGCGCTCGCCGCCTACAACGCCCGCATCCAGAACTGCGGCGTCTGCTACCTCGCCCGAGTTCCGCCCTACATGAAGCCATCGGCGCGCGCCCGCACAAAAACATAGTTGTGGCCGTGGGTGCACGGCTCACCAGCACCTCGTCCGCCACCCGTCGGCGGCGTGGACGGCCAATCTCGCCCTCTCTCTCTCCCTGCAGTGTGTGGCACGGCCGACGCCCGCCCGGGCCTGCGCGCCGGCAGGCGCTGCGGAAGCTGCTCTCCGGGTACGGCACGGAGGTGCTGCGCATCTACCTGAAGCAAGAGGACCCCGCCGCGCGAGCGCGCCGCATCTCTGGCGGCGGCAACCGCAAGCGCTCCTTCTCAGAGGGCTGGGTGGAGGCGCGGACACTCTCGAGACACGCCTCCGACGCGCCTCTGACACGTCCTGCAGCCCACTCTCTGGCCAGCTTTGCAGCCGCCACAAGCTCCCCCTCACCGCCCGCCCCTCCCTCGCTTCGGCGGCTGCAGTTTGCGGACAAGCGGCGCGCACTCAAGCTCGCAAACACGCTCAACAATACGCTGGTGGGCGGCGGCCACCGATCCTTCCACGCGCATGACCTCTGGAACATCAAGTACCTGCACAAGTTCAAGTGGGACAGCCTGACCGACGCGCAGGCGCGGGGTCTAGCCGAGACCCCTAGCCGAGACCCCGCCCGTCTCTGCCCACGCCACGGCCGAGATTTGCCGAGATGTCGCGAGTGTGGCCTGACCGTTGTCGCCTCAAACACGCACACACACGCACACGCACACTCGCACTCACACACACACACGCACACACGCACTCACGCTCGCACTCACACGCACACGCACACACACAGCACGCCCCGGCCCTGGCCCCTGCTGGCCCCGCGTCTGACGCGGTCGCTGCCCGCACCTACGGGGAGATATTGGGAGATACGGGGATACGGGGAGGGGCAAGTAGCACTGGCTGCTGTCCGCACCTTCGGGGAGATATGGGGAGATACAGGGAGATACAGGGAGGGGCAGGCTGACGCGGTCGCTGCCCGACGCCGCAGGCGCACGAGGCTCGGACAGCGCAGGACCGGATGCGCGCGGAGCTGTCGCAGTCGAAGAAGGAGACGAGCTTCTACATGAAGCAGGTGCGAGACGCGGCCGAGGGACGGTCGAGATGCCGCTGGGGTGTGGCGGGGGCGTGGGGAGGACGCACCCTCCGACAGGAGCAGGGGAAGGAGCCGATCGAGGCCGGCAGAGTGCGTCCATGACACGTCCATGACACGTCCACGCCACGACACGCAGGTCGGGCAGGCAAAGGCGATCGAGGCGATGGCTGCGCGCAGAGCACGCAAGGCCGCCGCCGCCGCCGACACCGCCGACACTTCCTCCGCCGCCCCCGTCGCCGCAGCCGCATCGCCTCCTGCCGCTATCGCCGCCGCCGCCGCGTCCGCCGCACCCGCCTCCTCCTCCAAGGCCAAGGTGGGGGCTGGTGCCGCGGGTGCAAAGCGGAGGCGCGACGCCGCGCCGGCGCCGCCGTCGGCCGGCTCGCCCGCGGGGGAGAGGAGAGGCGCCGAGCGTGCGGAAGCGGCGGCAGGCGGAGGCAGCCCCACGGGGCTGGTTCCCCCAGCTGCGAGCTCATTTCTCTTCACGGCGCTCCAAATAGGCGCCGCGTCGAGCGGGCTCGCTTCGGTGCGACGCAGTTTCAAGCAGCGGCGCGTGCAGTCGGGCGAGGGGCGGCGGACAAGCAAGCTCGATGCTTCTCTGCTGCTGCCTGGCGCGGAGTGAGGGGCGTCAACTGGCAGCGGGGCGTGCGTTTGCTCCTGGTGGACCGACCCCAGCCCACTCTGTGGCCGGTCTGGAGACTCTTTTCGAGTCGTCGGGAGTCAGGCCGTGTGCGTGAGCCGTGACTCACCTTTCAAGAGCTGTGTGTGGCTATTACCCTCTCTCAAAATGTGCGTTATGAAGACCAGTGTATGTAGTGACTGTGTCGGCGCCGGCTCTTTGCCTTTGCGCTTGGCGTGTACTGACAGCCTGAGGGCCGCCTCAAAAGGTCCCGTCGATCGCGTGACGCGTGGTGTGGCTGGTGCTTGGTGGCACTGGCAGGTGCGAGGTGGTGGTGTCTGGTGTGACTGTCCGGTGTCTGTGGTGAACTGGTGTCATCCGGCGAAGTGTACCTTTCTTTATAGTGAAACACGTCCCGCCGGGAGCTCTTGTCGCGCCTAGCGCACCCCTGGGAGGGATCACACTTTTCGCCCCACCGCACCCCTCTACCCTCAGTCCCGGGAGCCGTAGCCGCTACCCCCCCCCGCACACGGAGGGATCACACTCCTCGGGCCCCCCTCGACCCTCAGTCCCCAGCAAACATGTCCCGCGCGAGCCGCTCACCCGCAAACAAGGGGGTCAGACTCCGCCGAGCGAGCGAGGGGGACAGCAAGGCGCTGGCTGGCGCTGCCGTCTCTTCTCACCCCGCCGCTGCTCGCCGCTGCCGCTTACCTCACGGCCACCACTGCTCCCCCTCGGCCACCTTCATGACGCGCCGCTGGCGCAGCGCCGCTGCAGTGCTCTGCTGGGCCGGGGTTTGGCCGCTGCCGCAGCTCAGAGGCCCCCAGCCAGCTGCGGTAGCCTCCAGCTCCCAACCAACTGGGTTGACCGAGCCGTCCTTGTTGTACCTGATGCCGCCCTCGAAGTTGGTCGCCTCGCACATGCCGTTGCGAATGATGCCGTCCGGGTCGGGAGCCCCCACGAACTCCATGGCGAGCTGCGCACAGGGGGAGGGGGGGGGGTGAGTTAAGGGGTGGGGGGGGTGGCGGGAGGCTTGCCGCGGGCTCACCAGGCAGCCGTTGACTGCCGTCCAAACATCGGGGCTGGCAGTGTCGCACTTGTTGCACGGGTCCACGGGCTTGTTCTTGTTGTAGCTCTCGTGCTCGTTGTCGTCGTAGCAGACGCCGTCGATGAAGCAGAAGCCAGGCACGACATTCCTCCCCGCACCCGTCGGGCGACGCCCGCCCTCGGGTGCAGTGAACTCAAGCTTGTCCGCGGTGGAGTTGCAGCTGTAGCAGTGATGGCCTACGTACGGCGAGGACGTGCCATCCTTGTAGCAGTAGCGGTCGATGTAGCAGTAGCCGTCGTTGACGTTGGACTCGTGGACGCCGACGGCCTCGTCGCACGAGTTGAGGCACTCGGGGTGGTGCGAGGAGACCGACTTCAAGTTGACGAGGAAGGCGTGGGGGGGGCTGGTCCCCGAGCTCTTGATTGTTTGCGCGTCGTGCATCACGTTGTCGCGCTGGAGATCGCCCCAGCGGAACTTGGAGGGGCCAGAGTAGACCCCGCCCCCAACGTAGATGTCGCCAGAAACCGCGTCGGCGGTAAACGCGAAGAAGTAATCGCCGGTGCCGCTGTCGCCGACCTCGTCACTACCGCCGTCCATCGCCCACTTGCCAGCGCCGGTCGTGGCGTCGTAGGCCACCACAAACACCTGCGGCCGGCGAGGTGGGGCATGGGGGTGTGTCACGAGAGTAAGCCATGAGCGGTGGGGCGGTGGGGAGGGGTGGTGGGGGTGGGGGTAGGGGGGGCGCACGTCGTATTGTCCGATGGAGCGCAGCGTCATGGTCGCGTTCTGGTCGTCGGTGAGCGTCAGCCAGCCAGCATAGATCTGGCCCATGGCCACGACCTCGTCTTCAGGTTGGCCGGCGCCCCTCATTACCTCCATTCCTCGAAAGCCGTGAGACCCCGAGGGGATGATGTCAGTCCACAGGACGTCCTTCGTCAAGTCGTTCGAGGTGTCGATGCGGCTCACCTGGGTCTTGGCGCGATTGCCTCTCCCATCGACGACCGGCCCGGTCATCGCGAGTAGGGTGCCATCGCGCGACACTGACAGAGTACTCGAGGAACCCTGGACGGACCAGCCGGAATCAGGGCCGCGTTTGACCCACAGGGCCTCGCCCATTGAGTTGTACTTGATGAGGCCGGCGCCGGTAGTACTCTGACCGACGAGGTTCACGCGAGTCGCGTCGATCTCGCTCGGGGCAACCACGCCGTTGCCAAAGTCCGCCTCAAAGGCCTAAAGGTGCAGCGAAATGCGTCGGGGCCTGCTGCGTGGGCAGGGGGGACAGGTGAGGGAGTGTCAACACCTGTGCCATGTTGAAGCCGCAGAAGAAGGACCCGTCCACCGTCGCGCGGCATCGATCGAGAACGACGCCCTCCGGGAGCTGCTTGCGCCACACGGTGGAGCCGTCCGACGAGGCCAGACAGGTCTGTTCACAGCGGACGCTGTGAATGGGCGAGGTTCACAGCAGGGCAGAGCGGACGGTCGGGGCGGACCAAGTACTCCGCGCAGTCATACGGCTCCCCAACAGTTGTCGTGGTGCCGCGCCACCCGGTTGTGACTACCACTTTCGTCGCATTGAACGAATCGCAGCCTTTGTACGAGAGGATCATGTTGCCGGCCGCGTCGCCGTCGGCCGCGCGCACGATTACGTACCCGGGGTGGTCCTCGTCGAGGATCTTGTACCACCCGGTTGTGCCGGGGCCGATGCCAGCAGCCTTGGAGACGTCCAGCTTGATCATCAGCTGGACCTGAAGCGGAGGCGGCGGGGGGGGGGGGGGGGGCTACGTGAGAAGAGAAGGGAATGATGGTAGGAGGAGGGGAAGTGCGCCTGCTCGTTGGTGTTCAGCCGAGCGTCGCCATTGGCCATGTAGGCGGAGTCGAGCGTCGTGCCGTCGGGCAGCGTGAGCTGCTGCCGGAACCCCATCTTGACCGACAGGTGGTTGTCGTCGAGCATGGCCTTGATGCCGTCGTACGAGTCGACTTCGTTGGTCTGCGCGCCGTGTCCGATGCTGCCGACCTGCTTCGCCGTCCCCTCGAAGAACCACGTCTGCAGGAGCTTCCCCGTGGAGTCGGTCTCTGACAGTTGCAGGTGCTGCGGCGCGGGAGGGTGGGTCGTGCGCGCGGGGGTGGGTGGGGAGGCGGAGGAGGGAAAGGCGGCCGGCGGCGGCAGCCAGCGCCGAACACCGAGGGTACGGGTTGTGTGGAGAGTGAACGCCGCGACGCGATTCGTGTACCTGGTCGTCGGAGGTCGCATCCATGACGCGGACGGCACCCGGCACCGGTGCCACCATCCCGTTCGAGTTGTAGCCGACGGGAAGGTAGGTCCCCTTGAAGTATCCGCCCGTGTACACCTTGCCGTTCATCGCCCCGGCGGCGTAGTTGAAGGATGTGCCCGCGCCTTCGTCGGCCTGGAAGTACTCCACATCGGGCCTCTGCAGATGCGGGCGGCGGCGCGGCGGGTGAGTGGCGGGGTGGACGACAAGCGAAGTGGTGGTGCGCGCGGGCAGCGGGGCGTTGCTTCATCTCCTCAAGCCGCGCTCTTGTGTTCCCCGCGCCGCGCGCTCTCTCCGCGCGGCCCTCTCCTTCGCCGCCCTCTGCGCGCCTGCGCGCTATCTCAGCGCCCCACTCGCATTGCCCCGCCTCTCAAGTGCCGAGGCAGGTACGTGGCTCGCCGCGGGCGGCGGGGCTCACCGAGCACGAATTCCAGCCGAGCGCCAGCGGCAGCAGCAGCGCGGTGACGTACAGCTTCCAGTTGATCATGGTGATGGGGTGTTTTGGATCTGCGAGCGCGCAGGCGACGGCGGGTCAGCAGCATGAAATGGGGTGCGCATGGTGGGCTCGCGCGGGGCTAGGGTGGCGAATGGGCAGCAGCGGACGCGTCTCGCGGCTCGTCGATGGCGGCGGCCTCACCTGCGAACGGGAGGGAGCAGGGGCGCATCGCATGGCGGGAGCGCTGCGGATCTGGCGGGTTCCGCGAACAGCAGGCGTCACGGGAATCCAGGCGTGTAGCTCGCGGCGGCCGGCGAGGCGGGGCAAGCGCGAGCGGAACGGGGTGTCTCTCGAGTGCCAGGTACGGCATGCCTGGCTGGTGCGGATGAAAAGGTGTGCCTCTTGACCGGCCTGGCAATGTCACGCTACCCAAAAGCTACCCACCGCACCTGCCGTGTGCGTGTGCGTGTGCTCCCATGCTAGGACAACAAGGCCCCGCATGCACCCAGATGAGGCGATCGAGCAGATTGTGCACAAGGAGAAGATCTGCTCCTTCATCGTCGCGCAGCCAGTGGCGGCGGCGGCGGCGTCGGCGGCTGGCCGCAGTGACTTTGACAGGGAGGCCATTTGCCGCAAGTGGATTACCGACGGCCGATGTGCCGACTTTGTCAGCGGCAAGTGCCCGTACTCGCACCCCCAGGGGCTGCTTCGCGGAGGCCGCGGCGGCGGAGGGCGCAATCGCCAATGGCGCAACGCCCCTCAGGGCGGCGGCGGCTGGGGCGGCGGCGGCTGACGCCTCGGGCGGCACGGTGCAGATCAACGGCGTGACGGCGGTCACGCCGACAAACGATGGGCGGCGACTACTGACGGGCGGTGCCGATGGCAAGGTGCGCGTGTGGGCCGTCTCCAAGGCGCAGCAGGTGATGGTCGCCTCGATGCAGGAGCACAAGGGGCCAATCTTTTCGATTGCAATCCGCGCCAACGACTCGGAGTGCGTCTCGGCGTCGGCGGACGGCTCATGCATCGTGTGGGCACTTGCTGGCCTCACGCCCTACACGCGAGTGGGCGTGCTGTTCGCGCCGCAGTTCTTCAAGTGCGCGGTCTACTTGCCGGACGAGTCGCAAATCCTAACGTGCGGGACGGACCGCAAGGTGACGTACTGGGACAGCACTGACTTTTCGCAAATTCGTGTCGTCGACGCTTCGGAGGAGGCGGAGATGACCTCACTCCACATCTCTGGTGACGGCACTTTCTTCGCCTCTGGCTCGGCTGACCGGCGGGTCAAGCTATGGTCCTATGACGAGGGTGTGGCGTACTGCGTCGGCAACGCGCACTCGAGTGCAGTCGCCGCCATCAAAATCTCCCCGGACGAGCAGACGGTGGTGTCGGTCGGCAGGGAGGGCGGAATCAACATCTGGAGGGTGCCAGAGGGCATGGGCGCGGCGTGAGGGGGAAGCGCGAGGACTTGAGGGATTGGGGGGGTGGCCTTTGGGACGTGCAGCTCGGCAGCCCCACGCGGGGCATTAATTAGCATCTGGGCCATGATGCAGGTTGGGATGCAGGAAAGTCGGGAAAGTGAGCTGATGGAGGGCGTGGGCGTGACACACTCTGTGTGGTCTCTATGAGGGGATCGGGGGCATTGTTGACAGTAACAACTCGCTCAGACCACAAAGCTAATGCTTCGTGACCTCATTGAGGTTTCCGCATCGGCGCGGCCATGTGTCCCTTCCACGCACACTCCCCCCCGCCCCACAGACACGAGCGGCGGCGGCGGCCCCGCGAGCGAGCATCGCAAAGTCCAAAGAGGCAGCGTCCGCGCGCATGCGCTTTTGCGAAAGGGCGCCAAAGGGTTGTTCCTCATGCGCCGCCCTTCCTTTTTAGCTCGGATACGACGATACGAATTCCTGCGTTTTACTCGCTTCGACGCCGAGTTCGCGCAGAGGTCGCCTCCGTTTCCGACGGCGACGGCGTCTCCACCAAGGGCAAGGCACGCGTGGAGCCGGAGGTCAAGGCCGAGTCGTCAGCTCGTCTGGCAGCAAGGGCAAGGCGAAGGCGGCGCCTGCAGCGAAGCGGCATGTGCTCGTCGAGTTCAAGTTTCGCTCGTGCAGGTGCAACACGGATAGACGCCGGCGAGTGGAACGGAGTGCTGCATGTGCCGATGCTGCAGGATCCGACCACAGGCCGCTTTACTCTGGCCGCGGGGACGACGATGCCCAGCCCAGAGACATTCACGGCAACCTTCCACCGGGCAGCCGCCGGGCAGCCCATCGAAAGCTTTGAGCTGGGCTACGACTACGACTACTACATCGAGGAGGGGGTGTACACCAGCGTGCGGCCGAGCGACGCGAAGGGGTCGTGGATTCACGGGGGCGGAGGCGAGTCGCGCTCGTTCACGTGGCTCGATGCGTGGGAGCGGCACCAGGGCGGCATGCTGCAAGCGTACGCGAGGGCAACCATCGACTGGTACGAGGAGCCTGAGGACTTCAACGGGTGCGACGACGCCAACGTCAAGATCAAGCTGCACACGGTACTCTCGGCCCACAAGCCCGACGAGGGCAACAAAGCGAAGCTGGTCAAGTGGGAGGCAGGATCGTCGGCCGACTGGGACGCGCTGGTTGCAGTCGTCGCCGCGCGCAATCCGAAGAAGAGCGCCGCGTGGTCTCGGCGGGCGGTGCAGGAGTACCGCCTCTTTCTCGAGCTCAAAGTGCAGGCCGGCGACTGGGACTCCTCATATTTCTCGCCGTCGACGCCTCTCGACGAAGTCTGGCATGCACACCTGTCGTTCGTGGACCGCTATCAGCGCGACATCCTCGCCCTCACGAACGGCGCACAGCGCGTGATCGTGCACTCGCCTGTCCTCGGCAACGACGCGTACGCACGCTACGCGGCGGCGCGCAGGGCGCATGTTGAGCGCATGGGCCGGACGGGTGGCACCGTCGACAAGGAGTTCTGGCCCCAACCGAAGGAGAGCCGCACGATGGCGACTCGGAAGAGGAACTCGACATGGATGCAGCTCCACGCGCCACACTGCACACAAAACACACAACATAGAGAACTTCGATGGCGCCAGCGCCCCTGCTGTTGTAGTTGACAAGTGGGGAGCAGACGGCTTCAGATGAAGCTGCCCCCAGCAGGCGTTTTGACGGATATCAAAATTCTTCCCTACAAAGAGGCCACCAACGCGCAACTCGGTGTCGGTGAGCCGGCAGAGAAACAGAAAGAGGAATATCATCACGAAAATCGAAAAAAACGTCCCACGGGGCCCCGCGGCCGCGCGATGCCGATGGCGTTGGCGATGGAAAGTACTAAAAGTAGACACCCAGGCTAGGTAACTGCACGTGTCGCGTCGTCGCGTGTTGAGAACTTCAAAAATAGCTCCCTCCACTAAACCCCAGCCCCAACTCTCCTGACACACGAGTGTGGCTCCGCCATCGCGCAAGGCGCATCGGCGATCGGCCCGCCGCTCAGGCATACGGCAGCAGGCGGCGAAGTTTTTTTGCGAGCCCCTTGTGCGTTACCACTCGCGGCGCCTTCTTCGCCAGCGTCGCCCGCCTCCGCTCGCCCGCTTGCAGGTGCGCCTTGCCCGCGGCCTTGTGCGTAAACGTCCTGACGAAGGAAGAGCCGTGTGGGTGCATGGGCAGGAAAGGACGAAAGCGGAGTGAGAAGAGTCGGACAGCAGCGCGGCGCGGGCGCAAGGCCGTGCGCAACGTCAGCGATGGCGGGGATCGAGCGTCTTGTGGAGCGGCGCACCCGTCGCCACGCAGCTTGAAGCGCTGCGCCGCCGCGCGGTTCGTTTTGAGCTTCTTTGGCAGACCGCGCGCCCTCCTGCTCCGCCCGCTCGGCACAGGGTACGTCTTTGGGTGCCACCGGCTAGGGCGCGTAATGTTCCACCTCCGGGCTGACGCGTCAATCGGCGGCGGTGGCTGCTGCAGGAGTGCAAGGGCCGACGGCCGCGGCAGCAGTGCGCAGGCGGGCGCAGCGCGCTGCGGCGGGCTCGACCGACTGGGAAATGAGAGAAGCCGGCTCGAGCCCACCATCGCCGCGCGCGAGAGCGCCGCGCGCCCTCCGGATCTGGCTCCAACACGAACGCAGAGCGACAACATATGCCTCGGGTCGCGCTTTTTCGCAAGCGGCGCAAGGAAGAAATGCAGTTGGACCGCCACCGCGTTCCGCTCGACCTGATCGAAGCTAGAGGCGGTGGTCTTCATGTGGGTGCCAGCACACGTGGGAATAGCCTGCAACGCATACGCCGACGCGGTGGCGACAGCACACCTCGGGGATAACGACACGGAGGACGCCTCGAAAGTGGTGCGGGACGCGGTGCGGACGCGGCCATGCATGTACACGGTGCGAAGGGAGGCGGCAGAGAACGCAGAGAAGAGGGAGATAGTGGACCGACGGACGTACGGACACATGTGTAAGAGCGCGCACGAGTGGGTGTGCGAGCAATATCGAAAGACGGTGAGGCCGGGGTCCCACACGGCAGGGGTGGCGGGACGGTTGTGGAGCGAAGTGGCAGTAGCCAGCCTCAAGCATCGATGGGATAATAAGATGAGATTACCAGACGAGAACGGGGGGAAGGACAGGCGGGCGACATTTGACGACGTCGGGGATCACAATGTGACGACCAAAACGATCTTGGGGGCCAGGGTGAGACAACAGGTCGGGGTGCCACATGGGGCACACCACAGGCGTATTCTAGAGGGGGAAAAGAAACGGGGAATAAGGGGCCCCGCCACGAGAAGTGCGTTCTGGGGATGCAGAGCGTGCAAAGCGGCAAGGGATGAGGCCACGAAAGAGGCGCGCGAGGCAAGGAGGAGACGCGGGGAACTGAAAGACTGGGACGATTGGACACAAGAAGACAGTGAGCCACCACAGGCGTCGTTGGCGCACATACTGAGCGGCAGCTGCGCTGGAAATAAGGAAGAGGCGCGTCACTTCATGCGGAAGCTCGACAAACACACAGCGAGGGCGACAGCAAGAGTTGAACGGGAGGCGCCGGACTCAAAAGACACCGCCACATTCCTGAGACGAGCGAGGGCAGCCTCCTTAAAGGCGAAAGGGTCTAGATTTGGGGCGCTCGCCGAAGAGGAGTACGACAAAATAGCGCCCGTGATTGCCTGCACGCTACCCGCACTCACGGACTCCATACCCGAAAGAAAGAGAAGGGAGCTCGCGGGAGAGGTGACGAGTGAACTACAGGTAGTGGGGAAGGCAGCCTCGATGGCCATACAGACATGGGTGCGAAACAACGACAAGACCAAGGCACGGGCAGAGGAACGAGAGAAGAATATAGGGTGGATAAAGCGCCTGTTCACGGCATGGAGGGTGAGCCACACCGAACGTACCGAGCGAAGAGCCGAGCGGAAGGAGGACGGGGAAGATGACTCCGAGGAGGACGAACCAGTGGAAATTCAGTTGTCAGATGTCACGATGCATCCAAAGGGGACCCCAGCGCCGGCATCATCCGTAGAGGCACGAGTGTTCGAAGAGAGAGTGGACCTGAGCAACAACATGACCTGGAGGCAAATGATCGGAGTGGGAGTCAGAAATGTGGTCCTTGCGCGAGGGGAGCTCGATAGACTCGAGGGGCCAGGATACGCCGCGAGGAGGACGGAGTTGCGCCGAAAGGCGAAAGAAGCCGCGAGAACAAGGGACCGGCAGGCGGCGGCGTCGCAGGACGACGCAGAAGAGAACGACGCGACAGAGGAGGAAATGACAAGGGAGAGAACGACGAGAGTGGGACGACCGCGAGGTGGCATGAAGGCTGCAGCGAGAAGCGGCGAGAGACTGCGAAGAGAGATAGGAAGAGGCAGACTCCCTAGGGTGGGCGACGGCTAGCGCATCACACACCTCTCCTTAAAATCCCTGTGTGATGGCGGCGTGCCGTCCTCCCATCCCTCCCTTGGGTTGTCTGTTTTCTTTCTTTCTTTCTTTCCGCTCGACCTGGGTTCGAGCCGTGAGGACCTGGGTTCGAATCGCTGTTGGCGGTAGGGTAGATAAAAAATCTTCTTCCCTATTCACAGGCGCGCGGGATGCGTCGGGTGTGAATGGACATTCTTGCCCAGGTGAGCCGGTGTGTGTGCCAGTCGCGCTAGTCTCGCCCTTGTCGTGCCAGAAAGAAAGAAAGAAAGAAAACCCGCGCCCAAGAGGGTTGGCTCCCGGCCGAGCACACAAATGGACTTTCCAATCGCCTCCGCCGCCGCCGCCCTCCTCTCCGATCTCACCGTGACCAGCTTCACGCTGCGCGCCGCTGCTGCCGTCTCACTCGAGGCGCCGCCGCCGCGCCGTCGGCCAGTGCAGCCCCACCGCCGCCCGGGGCTCAATCAGCCGGGGCGGAAGCGCTCAACACAGTGGATGCAAAGCGAGGTCGCGCGCCTGCGAGCGCTGCGCCACAAGCTGGTACACCTCATCGAGGCCGACGAGATGAGGCGAGAGGCAAAAGATGAGGCGGCCACGGCACTTCTAGCACTGCAACGAGCGCGAGAGGTTTGCGAGGCAAAGGTGCACAGGGCGATGGAGCACGCGTCAGAAGCGGTCGAATACGCGGCGGCGCGACGTGAAAAGCGCCACCGCGAGATCGATTTTGAGAGCAAGAAGAAGAGGGCTGCGCTTAAAGCTCGGCTCCGTGGCCGCGTCCATCGTTCAGGCCGCAGCTTCGAGCAGGCGTTCGACGCCTTTCTCGGGGCAGCGAGTCCAGGCTCTTCGGTGCTGGAGGAGTACGGGAAATGAGGCGCTCCATGCACCCAGGCAGGGCAAGATGGCGCACTTTGCCGTCACGTCATGCATCACTGTCGCTCTGAGACCTCTACTGCATCCTTTGCTGGTGGCGCCTGGGCTTGGACCCTTGATGTGAGGAGGGGAGTGCGAATACACAGTGCACGACCCTCGAGCTTGCGGTACGTGTCTAAAACCTTTAACGATCTCGAGTACTCGAGAGACAGCGCGATGTCCTCATGTCCACCGGGCGCGTGTGACACACACACGTTGCACACGATTGGCTCGGGAGGAGCCGACACGAGGCACACACTGTCACCGGCCGTAGCTACGGCTCTAGGGTTGTCAAACGTTAAGAGCTGAACAGTGTTGCTAGTGTTAACAGTAACAACAGAACAACAGTGGGGCTCCCAAACAACAGTAGCTAACGTTAGGCCGGCTGAACAACAATAAGGAAGGCCTGGCAGTGACCCACGACGATCTCCAGCGTCCAGTGCGGGTAATACCCGAAAATACCCGCAACCCGGAAACCCCCAGGTATTTTCCGGGTTTTACCCGGGTTTTTTGCCGTTTTCTGCTTGCTGGCCGCTGAACAACAGTAACAACAGTAACAACAGTAACAGCATGGGCTGGGGTGAACACTTGAACAACGTTAAGGATTTCAGCCAACACTAGCGCAACTGTTAGGCCCCAAATTAACGTTAGGCAACCCTAGCCGTAGCACCGGGTCCGGACTGCTGGACACACAGCACATAGCTCACAGGACAGCTCACGAGGTGGCGCTATATAGTGGGGTTCTCGGGGACTGGCAACGGAGAAGAAGGTGGGACACAGGGATGGGGCCACAGAACTCACGAACTGATAACCCACCCCGCGCCGGGGGCGGTTGCGCGCGCGCGCGCCGGAGTACTTTGGACCCGCAGTCTGGCGCACCGAGAGAGCGACTGAGGAACGGGAGAGGCCCTGAGGGTTGTTGCGCGCGCGGGGGGGCGGATCGGTGCGCGGTGCCGCAGTGTACTCGGGCTCCGACTCCGGCGAAGGAGCGCTCGTGGGGAGGCTCGCGGAGGAAAGAGGCGTCTGAGCCCTGGTCTGACAGCCTGACAGCAAACCCCGGACAGCGCCTGACAGTGCCCGACAGCCTGACAGCGCTGACAGCACTTTCTCTGACAGTCTGACAGCACGTGTCTGACCGCCTGACAGGCGAGGGGTCCCGTCGCTGTCAGGCCCTAACGTGACAGCCTGACAGTTGCCTGACAGCCCGACAGCACACAGTGGCCTGACAGCAGCGCTGACAGCCCGACAGCAGCACAGACCGTACACAGACCCCGTAGAGCCTCTTTCTTGTGCCCCATGAGGGTATAACAAAACTACATGCAAAGACATGTGAGTGTGGTCCATGTAGTCATGGGATGGTCATGGGTCTCTCTCTCAACCCTCCCGCCCGCCACCTCTGCGGACCCCTCTCTAGCACCGGCGGCTGTGCTACTAGCTACCAGCTAGCCTTCTGGTGCCCTACAGTCATATGCCTACGGCGTCTGGGTGGGGGTGGCCGCCGCCGTCTGTGCCGCCGCCGCCGCCGCCCCGCCTGCGCCGCCATCTGCGCTCCCCAGGCGGCCGCTCCTGCTGGCGTGATCACGCCGTAGGAGGGGTGCAGCTGCGTAGCCGCCGGCGTCATCGGCGTCAGCGCCCCCGCCGCCGCCCGGCCAGCGGCCACGGCGGCGTCGACCGCCGCGTTGGTCGCAATCTTCTGCGCCTTGTGCTGCCCCCGCACCTTGGTCTGCGTGTGGTGCGCTGTGAGCGGGCGCTGCCGAGCCACTTGTGCGCGATCGACACGACCTGCGACCGCCGCGAGAGGAGGGTGAGTGCCCCGCGTGCGGGTATTGATGGACACACGACGAGGAGAACGCACGTTTGCAGCTCGGCCAGCGTCGGCTTCTCCGCTTCCACCGGCAGGTCGGCGAGCCACGCGCGGAGGTGCGACTCGCCGGCAGTGTGGCGCAGCACGTTGGAGCAGTTCGAGCCGATCGCGCCAGTCTCCCCGTAGAGCGCGCCCTTCTTCTTGCCGCACAAGGAGCATTGGTAGTAGCCGAAGTGGCGGTCGAGCTTCTTCACCCCCTGCGAGAGGGAAGCCAGTGGGTGTGGGCGGGAGGGTGATGAAGAGGAGTGTGGCGCCCACGCACCTTCTCCACAGACTCGTTGGGCGCTGCAAAGGAGAGGTAGGAAGCCGAGTCACCAGAACAGAGCGTGCAAGTACTACAAGCTGACGAGCGACAACAATGGGGAGGCCTTCCGCTGGACCAGCAACTACCAGATCATCAGCAAGGTGTACCTGAAGAAGCACTCCACCCTGCCTCTCTGCTATTCCCTCAGTGCGGCAGACAAGAAGATGGTGACGTCCACCATGAAAAAGATGGTGGGACCGGAGGCAGAGTAGAGGCTGGAGTATGTGTAGTAGAGTCCTGCTGGTCTCCTATTGATAGTGTCATAAGTGTGGCTGGTGTGTGTCAGAGCCTGACAGCACCCCGACAGCACCACCTGACAGCACCTGACAGCAACAGCCCAACGTCTGACAGCAGCAGCAGCCTGACAGCTCTGACAGCTCCGACAGCGTCTGACAGCAACACCCGACAGCTCCGACAGGACCCGACAGCTACAGATCCCCTCGCCTGTCAGACACGCACCCGACAGCACCCGACAGCACTGACAGCACCTGACAGCTGGTCTGACAGAGGCACCTGACAGTGCCTGACAGCTGCCCGACAGACCGACAGATCACCTGACAGCACCTGACAGCCTGACAGCCAGGGCTCAGAGAGGCGTGTGAAGAGTGTGGTTGCATGGAGAGCATACAGTGACGTCGAGTGCATGACGAGAGATGATGTGCATGTGGTCGCCCCGCGCGAGGATCGAGCAGTGGCCAGAGTGCAAGTTGAGTTCTGACGCAAGAGAGTCAGAGAGAGCCACTCTATTGGTCTGTCGCGGATATTCGTATATACAGAGGCTTTTCATCGTTTGTTATTTCAACGCGTGTTTCCACGTATAGTCTGTAGTCGCCTGTGGCTGTGCGCGCTGGGCCGAACCCGAACATCCGAACTGGTCACTCACTCACCCGCGCGGACCTTCTCGAGCTCCACGTCGCGCGCCGCCACCGTCCCCTTGAGCTCCGCCACCTGGTCGAGCGCGTCGCCGAGCAGCCCCTTGGCCACGCCAAAGTCACGCAGCTGCTCCACGCCGCCGCTCGCCCGCACCTCGGCGGCGTGGTCGGCCACGTAGCGGCGGCACTGCGCGAGGAGGCGCCCGTCGCCCGTCGTGTGCGCCGCCTCGAGCAGCGGCACGGCGGTCGCCGGCCCGACGCTCTCCTGCAGCGCCTGCGCGCAGAGCAGCTCGAGGCGCGGCACCTGGTACATCTGCGCCAGCTCCCGCAGGTCGAGCGCGCGCTGCGCCCTGCCGCCCTCCTCCTCACCGAGGTCGAACTTGTCGGAGAGGAGGTAGTCGACGAGGGCGGTGAAGCTGGCGAGGGCGGTGTGGGACACCGTGACCTCGGCGGCGTCGCGCTCCTTCATGCCGATGCCAAACATGGTCCGAAAGACCGGGGACGGGCGCATAGGACGCACTTGCTCACGTGCTCGATGCGCTCCTCGTCGTCGCCGACCAGGAAGGTGACTTTCCCCTCCGGGAGGGAAGCGTCGCCCCGCGTCTTTGCGAAGTCAGCTCCAAGGGTCGAAGGCGGAACGACGATCGGGGCAAAGGAGGGAGGCGGAGGAGGCGCCGCCACGCAGACCTGGCGGAGGCGGCCATCTCTCGAACTGACCAACAGCGCTCTGACGTCGGAGCTGATGGCGACTTCATCTGGGCTGGCGAAGTCCGCCGCGTCGCCCACGCCATCAGTGCTGCCACTGGTGCCGCTGCCCGCGATCGTCGTCACCTCCCCCGTCGCCACCTCAACCCGCCGGATCTTGTTGTTCATATAGTCCGCCACAAACAGCGCGCCGCCGTCTGGGCTGATGGCGATGCCAGTTGGGCAGTAGAACTCCGCCGCGTCGCCCACGCCATCGGCGCTGCCCCTGGTGCTACTGCCCGCGACCGTTGTCACAGCGCCCGTCGCCACCTCAACCCGCCG